ACTTTAATTGTATTTTATTACACTTCTTCCAGTGAAGATGGGAGTCCAACTTTGCTTTCAGGGAGATAGTCAGTGCCTCCTCTTGGAAAGGGAGGAGCTCACTGGCACTTTTGTTTTTCCTGTTATGCCTTCTGAGAGCAGGGTTTACAGTCACTAGGGAGGCTGAAGCAGGAAGCTGCAGACTTCCAGGCAGCAGGGAGGAGCTCTGCCTTGCAGGCAGACCCTAGGGACCTGCTCAAGGCCAAAGGTGACTTTCCCTCCCACCCAAAGCCAGTCGGAAGGGAGTCGGCACAGAGGGGATGCTGTGCTCCCGAAGCCGGGGCAGCCGGGGCTCTCCAGGCTGCTAAGGCTGCGTGTGGCCACATTTTCTGCCGACCAGGAGCTGCACATACGGGAAATGCCACAGGGCTTTTCACTTCGGCTGAGCCTCCTGTCAGCTCACTCTCCAACTGTTCGAGCTGCAGACAGAAACTCTCAGACAGAGCTCAGCTTCTGCTCTTTTTAGGTGTTGTAAAGAGGCCAAAACGCTTGAACCTCTGGTGCAATAACTTTCCCTGTGGTTATACACTGATGTCATAAATTTGATGTTATAATGCCAATGAAAGCTGATGAAAAGGAGAAGCAGGGCAGGGAGGAAGGAACCCTAAAATGATGACATTTATCTCAATGAGAAACTGAATCCAGAAAGAACAGCCAGGCAATTGATTTTGTAGAGAGGAGTTCTCTTCAGGCTTGTGCAGACTGTTCCCCCTTCAGCACATCTCTGCAATGCAAGGGCAAATCAAGGCAATGGCAAATTACAATAATCTAACGTGGCTGCAGAACTCACCCAGGCTTTTTAATTTTTTCTTTCTAACCATAATGACTGAACAGCCTGAAGGATATATCTTTCTTTATCCTACAACCTGGAATTTGGAGCAACTGTAGCTCATGTAGCGCTGACAGAATTCACAAAGCAGATGAATTTGCTTCCCTCTGGCTACATGCTTATTGTAGGTAATTCCAAAGGGCAGATTTAAAAAATGTTCATCTCTTACAAGCTCATGATAAAAACCCATTCAGTTGCATAGAGACCCAGAAAGCAGGTCACCATTCCCATGGTTCTGAGCTCAGACCCTCAGACTAGACCCAAAGAGGAAGCCTTTAAGGACAGATATGTCCACTACAAACAAACAGAAGTGTCTAAATTCCTTTAGTGTAGTCAGCCAGAAGACGGTAGAATCAAACCTCTGTGAAGCTGCTGGGGAGGAGCCACTTGAGTTCAAGACATCAAGCTTCCTAACAAGACAGACAAAATGTGAGGTCCAAAGGAGTGCCTACAGTGCTAGGCGACACTGACAGGCCCTGTTGAAAGGAGGCCCCTTCTACATTTGGCAGGAAATGGGGGGATCCACAGTGCTGAGAACCATCCTGATTGACACAGGTTTCTGAAGTGGCGTTTCAAGATTAGCCCATCGCTATCGCTGCTGCCTCAAAAAAGGTCTGTGGGACTCAGAGCTAGATGGCAGCTTTGGCTGCACTGCCACTGATACCTTCATGTACATGATCACTTAGTCTTCTGCCATTATTTAATTAATTCAGGGGGCAAAGCAGTTCCATTAAGAAAAATGAAATTGCCGCAGAAGTTCACGACTAAGGAGAAACATAAATCTCTCCCAGCAGGAGCATGAACCGCTAATGTCCTCACTCAGCCAGCAGCCCCCATCCACAAGCAGAGACCTGGGAGCGGTTCTGTCCTTCCCACCAGGAGATGGCTCCTCATCTCCCATCTTCTGGATGAGGAGGTGCCCTGGCTTGGGGCATCTCTTGTGCAGGGCAGGCTGCTGCAGCTGGGGCTGCATGGCAGCGACCAGACTGCCCTGGCACAGCTGTGAATCCCAGCCAGCAATGGGAGAAAAGGATTTCAGTTCAGGCTTCCCATAATTCTGTTCTTTCCACTAGTAATTAAAGTGACATTTTCCTTGCCATCTGTAGGATTTTTTGAGGATGCAATTGAGTGATCTGTCAACAGCCCTGTTTCCAGTAGAAAACAGAGCAAAAAGACTGCCTGCTTCCCTAAGCAGAACCAGAAGAAATTAAAAATGCCAATCCTTGCAAAAATGGGGCTGTTTGCCCTTGCAAGCTCTTGCACATGAATAATTCTGAAGGAAAATAATATCCTCTAATATTAAATCTTCTGAAGAATAAAAATCATCCAAACATTTCACATAGGAAATATGACCTTGAATTAACTAACCCCATATTAATTACAATAGTAAAAAATCCATTTTAACAAAATTTATCTGCTCCACAAGGAATTTTTAAAAATAATTTGAAATGGTAGTGTTTTTTAATTCACCAGCATTGCAAAAACTACTTTTCCATTTATCTCATTCTTTGACTTTTTAAAAATTTTTTTTAATAGAGTGACTGGTTTTTGTAGAGCTTATCTGTTGGAAATTGTTAATACCGCTCAGGTTTCAACAACCTGTCAAAACTAAGCCCTATCAGAAACATTTATGTAATAATCATATTTCCAAAAATAATTAAAATAGTACATATCAGGTTAAGTTGAAAAAGGCTGTAGAAGCATCCTTTCTGAGTAAAATATCCTTTCTGAGTAAAACAAATATACGAAGACAGGCAGAAGAGGCAAACAAAACAATCAAAAGTCTCTACTTGGAAATGGGCAAGGATCCTAAAAACCAGATTGAGTCTATGTTTATTTTGTAAGTGTGTAAAAGAGGGAGAAAGAAGCATTTTGAAAGCATTTGTATTGTTTTCTGAATAATTTAAGACTTAAATGAATAGATAGTATCAACTTTAGTAGCTAATCACTTTGAATACCCTAACAGAGAATCATTACCCAAACACATGCTCATCAGTTTGGACAAATATGACAGTCATACTGTTGGAGTGAGCATAGGATCCCAAAATCCCTTTGCTAAATGCCACAGAACAGAGAAAAAAAAATCCCTACTCTAGAAATATTTCAAAATCTAAGTACATGATGCAAATTAGAAGCTGCCCACAGACAAACAGACAATCTAGAAACAATGGGACAGTGCTGGTCCCCCCAATGTCCCCACTCAGGGAGGTGGCAGGACAGGAGAAAGGGCTAAAAGCAGATGCACTCACTGATATCCCAGAGCACAAGTCACAGAGGAAGTGTGAACAGTGATACAATAAGAAACCAGGAACACAGCCCCAAAACTATCAGAGAGGTAGTCAGGGTCACTGGCTTTATGAGCAGGTAAGGGCAGCAACATGTGCCAGTCATGGATGCAGTCCTGGAAGCTGAACAGTAATGCTAGAAATGAAGAAAAGCAAGAAATGGGAACTGAAACCAAAAGAAGTTGAAGGGGAGTATCTGAATGCTTGGTAGACAATAGCAATACACAAAAGACATGAAAAGATCAGTCTCTTCTTCGAGAAACACTGCACCTGCTGCAGCCAGGATGAGGGGAGGGAACAGACAAGCAGAAGCCCAAGTGTGTCTTCAGCCATGGACTTCAGACCAGACTTATGCTCTGTGGCAGGGCAGGAAAAGAGAGCTGCTGCAGAGAGTGTCAGGTAAAGAATTCAGGTGTTTTTGAGAGATTAAAATACACAAAGCTCTTTCTTTATTTTATTTTGTTCTCTTTTTCTTTTAAAGTGAAAAAGAAAATACTCCTGAGGAAACAAATTAATGCGATAACAAAGAACAAGGATGGAAGAGAGGAGAGCTGAAGATTAGCTGTAACAATGGCAAAATTGTGTAGAATTTCCTGGATAAAGGAAGGAGAATAACAGTCATCAAACGGATATTTGGCTTAAGACATTACCCACCATTTGCCAATTCAGCTAATACGTTTATCAAGTTTTCATAGAAGAACAAAGACACATTTAACACCAAAAGTTAGAAAACAGAGAAGCAGCAGAGGCACAGATGGGATGGGATTGTTGAAAAGCCCTTTGATCAGTAACCCTAGGGATGAACTTGCAGTATTCCTCATCTATTTCTTCTAGAGGATAACAGTTTAAAATGAAGAAAGGGATCGCAAATGCTTTACTATATCCCAAGAGTAGCACCATGTGAGAAGGATAAAAGGGAAGGAGCCAAGCCAATTTGCAACTCCCCTTTTCTCTGCTGCAAGTAATGACAAGTCACCTACAGTTCCAAAAGCAGAAAACCTGAAAGCACCTCATTTGCAAAAGCAAAGTTAGAAAAAACCTTAAAATCAACAGAAGGCATTGTGGATAACCAAGCATCCAGACACAATGAAAACCTGTCACGTGTGTCATGGACTCTTATGACTGGATTAACCTTAGAAAGGGTAAGGGTATTGTGCCTTAGCCTCACACACTTCAAGAAGCCAGAGATTACCATCACTATTAAAAAAAGTTGTTCCAGTGCTCCTTTGGCCATTTATTTTCCACATTGCACAGCTAGATCAGAAGCTGAGGAAACAGGTTTTTTGTCTGCATTAGCTGTTGTGTCCCAGCTGCGTTCTGCTTATGGCCACAATAACTCTTGTGCTGCTGCACGGGATCAGAGTAACCAGCCGGGATCAAGACCTCTGCCCTCAGTGACAGCGCCAGGTAACTGGAGGTTAAAGGCACCCTGAAACCATGGCCTTCAAAGGTCTTGCCTGAGGACATGTTCCTAACACAGAAAATGTCAGGAGCTCTTGCCATGAGCATAAATCTGAGCAGCGGAAGAACATTCCACCAGATGAGTACCCAGAAAGAGGAGATGTGAACTGGGAGGCAGGAGCAAGGCATTTTGCAGGTGAGAGCATGTGGGGTACCCTTCCTGCTGCAAAGCTGGAGTTTCACTCTCCAGGTATGTATTGTCATTTTGTCCCCAGGGTCATGGGCACACATAAAATTATGTACCCCAAAATCTAGATTTTACTGCCAAATATTTTCAAATGCATCTCTAACTGAAAAATCACAAATGTGCGTTGTTAACTAAAAGCCTGTCTCTTTTTCATGCTTAAACAAAGACACCTTACTAAACAAGAAGAATGCATTGAGAATTCACTTTAATACATGTTTATTGGTGTCCTGCACTTTCAGTGTAGGAGGTTGGAGATGTAATAAAAAAGTTTCAAAATTTATTGATTCAATTTCATTTAAATCACTCTAAACAACCAGTGCTTTAGAGTTCAGAGAATTAACATTTACTGTCCATTACAAGCAAAATTTTAATTTACCTTTTTCGAGTCCACTTAGAACTCTTCTTTTAAAATTCTTCAGATACATTCCTCATAGTAAACAATACATTTCAATCTGTGTCACAATCAACATTGATAAGGCCTTCTTAACCATTTTATACCACCTCCACTGTTACTTCATTGCAAAACACAATCTTATTTCATACTATAAATACCCATCCATGCACAAAACACAGGGGCCAGAAGTTACACATTAATATTTCATGTAGGCTTCCAAGTCTTCCTTTAGCCTCTGCAGGTTTATGATACACTTAAAAAGATATCTTTAGACTTGGTCTACTTGGTCTTAAAATACAAATATACAGTATCCATAAGCGTAAAAAAGTAAAGCTAGATGGCCTTACCATTTGTTATGAACTGCTAAAATCTTATACATGTACAATATAGCATCATGCTGATTAATATACATATTAGTTAAATATATGAGCCAATAATGGGGATGTGGCCAAGCTTTATTGGTTTGTTTTCAAAAAGAAATTTTTCATATACAAGTAAAAAGATTTTTAATTTAAACTCATATGGACTACCTGAACCACACAGACATCTGTAAGCCCTGCTGAGAAATTCAGGTCAAACTGGGACAAAGCCTGCTGATTCATTGGAAAAGGAACACAACTCCTCATGGGTGACACCCACAGTGTGCTGTTACCAAGAGAATGCAAATTTACCAGCATTCACATTGTCAGGTCTAGAACACGAATTTTTGCATCTTACATTGCAGTTTGTACTTTTTGTATCTATTCATCAGCCTCCAGCAGAAACAGTTCAGTACCTTGACATTGTCATAGATTTTTCTATATAAGTAGATATATAGTACAAAGTGTAGATAGTGAAACGAATAAGCACATATATACAGTCTTTGAAAGGCATTTTTGTGACCAGTTTAGCAGTGTTTATAGAAAACATTTAAGATAGTCACATTCTGCTGATAGCACTGTATTGCAAACTGTCAAGCCACATTTCTTATATTAAACTTGTACTGCATTGTATATTGTACAACAGAGAACAATCAATCTTAAGGTGTGACACAATGAAAAAAAAATACTAGACTGAGTAAGGTAACCAGCACAGGGCTTAATTTTCCTGAGGTTTGTAAGAATTTTTTAAACAAAAATCACAGTGACCAGGCTAAACTGCAAACATACCGTTAAGTTTTAAATATACAGTTTATACATAAGTTCTGTGCATGGTCGACTCAACTGCATATGTTCACGCTGATGTTTCCTTTAAATGACTCGCCACTGCATAATACTTGTGTCCTTTCCTCCTGTGGAGATGAGGTGGGTGTCTTCACAGAGAAAATCTACATTAGTTACATGACTACTATGTCCACCGTACACATGGCTTGGAGCCTAGAAAACACCACATTAGTGAGAATAGCAGCTGTCATAAAAGCATCTCATTAGAACAGTCATGCAACAATGAAACCAAGGCATCACATAATTCTCTTGAAGTATTTTATTATTAAATTCACTTTTAAATTTAATTGTTGTCTCAATCAACTTTAAGTAAATCCCTTAGATATATAAATACTCCCATTCTTCCTGTTCTGATGTGTTTTGGGTTGTTTTTGTTTTTGTTTTTGTTTTTTTTGTTCATAAGAAAACAACATTTAATGCATTTGTTCAAACTACAAGAGAAAATTTCTGGGAAATACCTTACCCTAAACTGTGAGCATGGATATGAGAAGAGATGTACTTTGCCAAAATCATCTCCTGTTGATAGCAGTTTTCTCCCATGGGATCGACAGACAGCGTTGATATCTGTGCCATCTGAACCTTCAGGCCATACACCTGAAACACAGAGGGACTAATTAAAGGCTTTTATAAAGAAAAAAAAAGACACCCTAAGTTTCTGTTAAAATATTAATAAAGGATGACTTGTTTAAGGAAAAGAAAAACCTATAAAAATAACTGCATCTGAGTCAGAATGTGTACTTCCATACCAGCTAAAGTTCAGATCCTAACAGGTAATCAAGCACACAAAAAACCACTTTATTCCCTCTAGTCAGCAAAGTGCTTTGTACTCTGAGAAGATGCATTCTGCTGAATTACAGTTATGTGCCTGAGCCTGAAAGAATTTTCATGTGGTTATGTGAAAAAGTAACAGTTACTGCTTTTATTTTCCCTTCTCTTTATGTATGAGTTAACACACTTTTTTCATATTACATGGGTATGTTTTTTAGGCTACAGTATGATCCAAAAGTAATTTCTTCATATTACTGAAGTCTAAAGTCTATAAAAAAAGACATTCTGTAGTTTAAATGATTATTTTTTAATTAATAGATCCCTTGAAAAGGAAGTGAACCTACTATAAGGTTTTTGAATGCTTTTGTTCTACTGTAAGTACTTCTCTTCCTTCCCCATATACTGGAATCTTTGCTGTTCTTGCATGAAGAAGTGTCCTAAAATCAAACTGTAAGGTCAACAGTGTAGACCAAATCTGTGCACCACATCTTCAAAGCCTCTGAATACTTGCCTGTAATAAATTGCAATTTTACTAAAATCCACCCAGTTATAGAAATTTCAGGATTTTGTATGCAGTACTGCAGGCTTTTCTTAGTTATGATTTTCTAATTTAGATTTTATCCAATCCTTACTCAACATAAAGGGCGTCAAGCTTTCAGAAACCACTGTCATCTGCAGTTATACTGCATGTTCTGCCATCATGACTTGGCAAAACTCCTGCTGTGTCTTGGCTCTGTGACTTTCAATGCTGTCCCTGCCATCCTCTGCAGTGTGCCCCTGCAGCCCTGCCCACTTGAGGGCACGTTCCTCCTCTGCTGCTGCTGCAGCTCAGGGTGAGAGAGTTCCTGCTCCTCTAGGAACTCCCAAGGCACACTCCAGTTCTTCCTTCTTTGGGGTACTTCTAACCCCACAGCAGGCATTTGCCATGCACTGTGGGAACAGCTATCCTTCAGTCACTGGGATTCTTCCCAAATACAGCCTTTGTACCACTGCACAGCAATTCACTATGAGGAGGTCATCCCATGTCTTCATAAGGAATTACAAACTGCTGTAATAAAATGCAAAGTCTGATTTATATACTGCTCTTAACTTTCCTGATGTGTGTAGACACACCACATTGCTAGATCAGGGATAGTAAAAGAGGCCCAAAGAAATGGAAGCTGCAAAGAAACATGATAACTGCTACTCCTGGAATTATGAATATGCAGAACAAAGAGACACAGAAAAGCTTTCTAAAATATCTGTTTTGACAAGAAGGAGGCTATATGAATATCAAATGCTTGCTGAAAAGAGGCAGGAGTCTTCCCAAGTGGTCACTATGACAAGCTGAATATATAACTCCTGAAGGATAAATACCCCTGAAGGAAATGGTTAAAGAAACAATTTTGAAATGGGGAAAGGATAATAGCAGGATTTTTCTTTGAATCTCTTGATTCTTTCAAAATGTATCCCAGTGCCTCACTCAGTTTTTGTGGATATGCAAATTGAATCCCCCTTGCTGAAAAAGTAGTCCTTATTTTTTCCCATCCTCTGGAGACCTGTAAAAGAGACCATTTCCTTTCTCTCATTTGAAGACTGATGCCATGCTATTTTTTCCTCCTCTTCTCTAAAAGTCACTCATTACATCTCTTCTCCCAGAACAATATTTAGATGGATAATTAATTATGCTTGCTAGTCAGCACATTGTCTGTTGGTCCAATGTGCAAAAACCAGAAGTAGCCATTCTAGCTGTGACTGAAGCTGATACTGATAAATGGATGACTGCTTCACATTTTGCATGGTATCCTTTTCATTACACATCCCACTAATGTATCTGCCTTTCCTACAACAGCATAATGCTGTTGACTCATGTTCAGTTCATATGCAAAAGTAATCTGATCTTTCTGTGCAGATCTGCTCTCATTGTTCTGCATTTGTACAACTGGGTTCTGCCATTCCAGTGGGGAGACTCCTCTTTGACTCTATAGAATCCCTTCCTTTTTTCATACCACCCCTCTGTTTCTCAAGACAACTTGCTAATCCTGCAGCTTTACACCATCTACAAACTTTACATGCTGATTTATTATGCATGCTATTAATAAAGATATTGAACATAATATTCCATTTACAGTTCTAGTCAGTTTTGAACCCAACCAGTCTGAGCTCTGCTTTGCTTGCAATGTTGTCAGGCTTTGTACAGTATCTTAGATTTCTTCTGTTCCTGTCCTTCACCTCGAACACTATTTTTTCAAAACTGGGCATGTGCTATGAACTGGTACCTTACTTGTGTATCCAGCAGCACATGGCTTTTGAAAGAGCTTATAGATCAGTAAGTGTTTTAAAGTCTTTGCTCCTTCACATTTATGTGTTTGTATCACTAAAATATCCTCCCTCAAGCACACTTCTTTACATGCTATTGACTTTCAGCTGAATCATCTCTAAACACTTCCAGACTGACTAATCTGTTCCCATGCTCAGAGACAGGTGTTCAAGGGACCAGAGTTCCCTTTTCCCCCAGCACTGGTTACGCTGAGCTGTGGGTGCTATGCATAGTTTGGGATTTTTATGTGATTCTACCAGAGAAAATATCCCTAGTTTCAGTCAGCCATAGCTACTGAAAAATCAATATACTAGAAGCCACACATCCTGGATGCTGTCATTGCTGCTTCTGTGTGCAGTGAGTCCATCCCAGCAAGCATGTGAAGACTGTTCTAACTGGCTGCTCTAATGCCCTAAAGTATTGATTGACTTCAAATAAAAATGGACTGGTTTCCAACTCATAATCTATGTGCTTCTTCAATCTATTATTCTAGCCACTCACTTTGCACTTTAGCCTCTCCATATGGGCTCTGAAGGTACATATATGATCCTACAGATATAACTTTCATTGTCCAGTTTTTCAGTACTTTGCCTGTTCTCTGTGAGGTGTAGAAAATAAGTACTAATGGTCTCAAGTTGAAAATAACCAATTGTTTTTACAGATACAACAAGGTTCATCACACTCAAATACTTTGAAAATACCTGACTTATTTCAACTTTCCAAACTACTCCTTCCCTACTGAAAGCAGTAGGCACTAACTGGGTTTGTCATCAAATTGTAGTAAGTCTTTTACTAAAGAAATATTTTTTAAAGCATTGGGTTTTGTAACACTTCATCTTTAGCAGTGTCATGTCTCCTCCCCCCTCAGTAGATTATTTTGTCCCATGGTCTGGCTCAAAAAGCTGATCTGTTGCAGAAGGAGATTCCCTTTCAAGTGTGACGTGCCTCTTTCCTCTGACTTCGTATGCATCAAAAGCAGCCCCAGATTCTAATAGCACTGTATTTTGCAGGAATCTGAACTAAAAAAGTAAGGAACCTTCACATGAAATATTTAGTATCTCACAGTATCTGAACCTGTGATGCTAAATGCAAGGACTTTGTAGCATTGCAACTATGTGTAAGGTGTACTCAAACCCCAGAAATATTTTAATAGTTCTATAAGGGTCTCTATCCCTTAAATGAAAAATATATCATGTCAACATGCAGCCAATCTTCCAGGACTTCCTGCTTTTACTACATCTGTGTGCTGTGATATCCAAGTACTATCCAAGCACTGCTTGTCAGCTAAATGATAGAAAATTTGAACATGTTTTCCCAGCATTCTGCTACTGCCATAGCATCTTTAGGCCCTTGAAAATTGAAGCCATGCCCTTTCTGTCTGCCTTCAAACACATCACTGCAATCTATTCTACTTGAAACATGGGTGCAAGTGTTTCTTCTGTGAACTTCTACCATGGCTTCCTATTTCCTCTTCAGGACTCAAGAATTTGAAGCTTCTTGTACTCAGTGTTTGTAACCATCTGTCCAGTCCTGCACATATTGCAGAATGAGTACAAAGCTTCAGACTACATTGGGGAAAGTGTATCCTTCAAAAGTGGCAAAAGAGAAGTCCCATGGAAACAAATCATTGGAATTTGTTATGTTTTTCTTTTTGAATTTCTTTCACTCAATTTAATTGCTACAGACTGTACCACAATATATGATAAGTTATTAATGAAGGAGACTATCATAGATTTTGTGTTTGCACAGTAACCAGAGCAAATGAAACCAGTTCTGGTAAGGGGATTCAATCCAGTAACTGCCTAAATACATGACAATTTCACAGAACTGGTACTTTAAATTAAACATTATGAGAAGCTGCTCTACTGTGACAGAAAGGGCAGTATGTGATTTTTTTTCTTATTTCTCATTTATGTTGTAATATGATATTTGTACTTGAAGCTAGAAAGAATATTAAATCAGAGTCTTTCTGGATTGAAATAAGAAGACAGATTGTAATAAAAATGGCATAACAGAAGTTCTGTATTTTTCCCTGAATTATGAATAGTCATGTTTCATAAGCAAAAGTTGGCATTCCAAGTGTTTGTTAATAAGAATGGTAAGAGCTTTTAAGAGGAAATATACTTACCAAAAACATGGAATCCTAAAGTACAGGTGTAAGTGGCCCATTCTATATCCCTGGTTGTTTCAACACTCACAACTTGTTTACAAGCAGAGGGGATCCCTAGAAAAGAAAAAACCCCACATAACAACATATTTAATACCCAAATTGTATAGATTTCTGATTACACCAGATGAATTAAAACATATGGTTGATCTTGGCAGTTATATGGTCTCATTTAAATTTTAAATCTGTGTTAGACTGCCTGAACTTTGCACAAAAGGACTAAATAAAATTCTTACTCACAGTATAAGATTTCATAGTCTCCTGAATTAGACACAAGATATTGTGAATTAACAGACCAATCCAGATGAGTAATGAAGCTGGAATGACCCTACAAAGAGAAAGCACATTGTATTAACTGTGCTAACAGTGTTCCACAATGTGACAGTATCAATACAGTGTAACAAAATACACTTTGGGTGTTGATACTGAACCAGGACAAAAAAGGTTACTTACTGAACATTTGCCAATTCTAGTGTACTTTCTTCCATTTTCACTTACACCATATATATAAATGCAGTTGTCATGGGAACCTATTGCCAAGAAGTTTCCATCTAAAAATACACAAGTGAAACTGCAATTATTCCTGTACGAAAGAACTTAGGCTAATTTTGAAAAGTTTGTTTGAAAAGTCACAGACAAGAAGAACTGTTCATAAAGGCCTAGATACCGAAAAATTAATAAATGAAATTATATTTTTAATTTTCTTGCTGCATATTGATGTATCTATCAAGACAACAAAACAGCAATTTTATACTAACAAATATTACTATTAAAAACACATGACATTTTTGGAAGCAGCTATAGTCCATTTAGGGCTAACCCAATTGCAACAACCAGCAGAGCTGAGTGGTTTTTTTTTCCCCCTTCTTCACAGTGAAGCCATATTGAACATGTTGAGGAGGGAGGGAAAACAAAACTTGAGCTTAAGATACCACCCATAAAGTCCTGCCAGTGTTTCATAGCACACTTATTTTCAACTTCAGTGTGGCAAGAGGGGACTTATTTTAAAACAAGCCAACCCCTAATTTAATATAAAATTTCAATGCCTTTTTTCCCCCAGTAAATAAATGCTCTCAAACCTGGTGAGTAACGCATTACAGACAGCTGCTCATTTCCATCTGTGTGTACAGTGACCAAGTCTTTTGTTTCTGTGTCAAACACAAACCACCTGTTGTAAACACAGAAAGAGGCCAATAAATCATTCCATAAGGAATTTAAATCTACTGTAATCTTGACCAACTTTTCTTCTGTCAAAATAGCATAAGTTTTATACCAAGAAGAGAAAAACAGCAACTGCTACTCAGTTTGGTCTACTTTTACTTTAACACAAGGATAGTTCTTTCACATCTTTTTTACCCATAAAAATGCATGGGCATTGACCCCAATATCAGTCTTCAGATTTCAGTGTGTTTTAGTAAGTCATGCATAAGAATAAAATAAGCATTGCTTGTGATGTCCCTTCTCCTTTAAAGACCTTCCTCTATGCTATGCTGATGTTTAAATTGATGGCTGCATTAAATCCTAGAGCAAGGGAAGACACAAGCAAGCATCAGGACCACTCTCTTCAGACAGAAGAAAGATATTAATTAATTTATTAAATTAATTCATTATTTTTTCAGTACTTTAATTTAATTGATTAATTTTAATGAACCAAAAATTAGTTTGTGAAAGCATGTAGAAAGGACAAAGATAAAATTTGCATTTCAATACTTGCATCAGATTACTAAAGACAAAGACAATATTCCTCTCAAAGTTTCTCCTTCTGTTTTACTTTATTTAGTAAATAAAGTACATTCAGTAACAAAAGTAAGTCCTTTATTTAGGATTGATATAAAATCTGAAATAAGCTTGCCTCATAACCTACAAGCTTCCTGTATGTTCTCAGAGAACTGGAACTGTTTTCAGTAAAAACAGCCAAGCCTGCCCTCAAGTGACATTAAAGGAGAGGGTGAAGTTAGGCAAAGGCAGTCCCTCCTATGAGAGACAACCACAGATAAACCCAGCAGCTGCCACTGATGTCACCAAGGGCTCAACCTGCTGCCTAAAATACTCTCCTGCACCTCAGTTTCCTCTGCCTTGTTTATCCCTCACACTCAACAAGCAGAACAAGTCTCTTAATGTGCATTTTTACACTATGTCTAGCATGGTGGAACATTTGCCAAAATTTTTTAAAGCCTCTCTGGTTGTCACTGCATTAGGGATCATGAACCACTCACTACATTTTCCAACACACAGAATTTTTCTATGTGATTTCCTCCAGGCAGCCCTAAAGGCCTTGGAGGAAATCTGCCTCCACTACATGAGACTCCCCCTTTAGCCTCTATTTTTTCCCAGTGGACACAAAGATTTAACATTTAGGTCACTGGTATGATGACAGTATTTCCCATGCCTGGTCTCACAGCTAACCAAGACTTGCTGCCCTCTCTAAATGTCCTCCTCCCGCTGATCTTACACTGTCTCTCTCCCAGGGCAGAAACAATCTCTTTGATCATGCAACACTCAGCAAACACAGGGTGCTGGCCCAAGCCTAGGGTTTCTAGGCACTGAGGCAATACAAATAAATGTCACTGTGACATTCAATAGAAATCAATAGGGAATGAAGATGTGTCATTGCATACATCTACATGAGCTTGGATGTGAGCTGGAAAAATCAGTGGTTTTTGGTGCCCAAGGTGTAGCTCTGCACCTCTTACCTTCCAGTTAGTGTCCCTACTGCAACAACAGATGCTGATGGATGAAAACCTGAAGACTGTGCTGGATCCTGAAATGTTTCAAAAAGAAGCATGCTTTTTTTACCAGTCCATGTTATCAAGTTGTAACAAATACACAATTCAATTATTTGCCTCTGAACATAGTAAAACTATCTTGTTGATTTTCAGGGGTCATTTTTTCTCTTTCAATATAAACTTGGGGGGCAAAAAAGTATTTTTAACTAATTGAAATATTATCCAATTAACTTATTTTCCCTCTATACAAGGCCACTCTTTTATTTTCTTTACTCTCTAAAAATAATTTGGCAAGTGATTTCATAACAATAACATTGGCAATGGCAGCTTCTAACGAACCACAAAGAAATAAGAGATAAAAATAACTTCTTAAAGTAGAGCTGACTTTAGAATTATGCTTCAAAGCTGCAGTTTACCTACAGTCGGAAGGACAAGCAAGTCCCTTATTCAACAAAGGCATGTGGCACTTTGCAGGAGGGGTAAAGCCTAACTCCTGCACACACCAACGCCTTTTCCCAGCACCTGCTAAGCTGCAGCTCAGTGGGAGATTAAGGGCATAAACTGGGTTTCTTGTTTGGATGTGCAAATTTAAAACATTTTACTTTGTAAAATTCCAGTGCTTTTCTTGCAATTTAAACATATGCCTAAAAACAAGGTAAGCATTTTCTTTCTAATACTTGTCCAGTTACAAAAGATTGAGGTCCAGAACTTTTCAAGTTATAGCAGAAAATACCAATATAGCTTTTGTTTTCCGTCATATTTTTAAAATGTAAGCAAAAAACCCAGCCCAGTGATCCATCTCATGGAAATGCTTGTGCCCTTAATTTTCTGTATTTTAAAAAGGTATCACATTGTAGATCTTTCATAAACCTGCTGACATTTTTAGCAATTGGTAATTACTAGCCCTAGAGGCTAGGTGGAAAGGATGTTCTCATTAAATATTAGTGACTAATTTAAAAGAATTACTAACTCCAAAGAAAATTTCAGAGAATTGTTGAGATCCAGGATTTCTATGCACAGCTTCTAAAACACTACAGCATTTCAGAAAGGAAAATTTCCTAATGTTTTTAAAGTATAATTTCATATCAAATGCTAAGATATTTCATTGAATAAACCAGTGCATTTAATCTAACTTGTACTCAGAATAGCTACATTAAAAAGCTTTTACATTGATCTCTATGACAAAAACAGGTTAACATGAAATTATTTTTTTTCTCTCCAGTTAATATTTTAAGGTAGTTTTAAACAATAATCTTAAGAAAAACCAAAACGACTAGAGAATTTCTGTAACAGGAGAGCTGTATTTAATAAATTTATACCTCTATAATCTTGTTCCAGATAGGATGGTGAGTGGTTGCATCCCAGAGTGTAATGTGTTTGTCATGTCCACATGTGAAGAACTGAGGCTTAGAAGAATGGACTGCAAGTCCCCAAAGCTCATCAGTGTGGCCCTGTGCAAGCAGAGATGTTTTTTGACAAGAAGGACAGGCCATCAAAATTAAACATGTTTAAACAGTATTAAAATGACCAAACTATATATTAAAACATTCAAAAATATGTTAGCTCTAGATAGATACTAGATTTTAGATTTATAATTATTCTTATTGCTGAAAGTACTATAATAATAAATCAGATGCATATCAATGAAAATTAACTTTAAACAGGATATTTACTGCTTTTACACACTTAGTAGTGTTCTTGTAAGAAAACCCAGCTTACCTGGGTAATTGGGAAAAAATCTCCTGACAGTGTGCCCTGTAGGACAAAATTTCTGGTGGTTCCTATTAAAACAACGTCCCCTTTTCCCTCTGCTACTGTTCTTATTGGACCAAACTGTTCTGGAATCTGTGGTCATAACAGACAAAAGGATAGATAAGTCAGAAAATTTGTCAGGTATTGCCATTCTTAAAGTAGTAAATGTGTTTTAATAAATATTGCACAGCAAAGAAATGAAACTAATTAATGCATGTGCCTGTCTTGCAAAACTTTATAACAACTTGCATCAGCTCAGTAACTTCTATAACACTGCAAGACAAGACATTCTTATCTAAGGAATACTCAGCTAAACCAAGTATTTCAAGAAACACAAAAGGCTCCTTCATGCTGTGTTAATTCAATAGTATTTAACTGCAACTGTGATATCACACTAAGCATTTCTACTCTGAGCATTTCTGGCAATGAATGTTTCTTTAATTGCAGCCTAGGTTCTGAAAGAGCCAGTGCAAATCTCAAAAATAAAGTTCAAGGGAAGATGTAAAATAACAAGGAATACCAGAATATGAACAAATAAGAAAAAAAAGAAGGACACCACAGTTAGAAACAGCATAACAAGCATGTCCCTTGTGCTATGTTAAAAACTGAATTACAAAAAGAGACATGCCAGTTGCATATATGTTTGCAACATTAAATATTATTATAATTATATAGTATTAATATTTAATTATTATTTAATATTATAGAGCAGAGTTGAAGCCCTTCCTCAGACTTTTCTGCTGATTATTCTCTTACATTCAGTATGTAAACAGTCAAAGCAGTTAGGTCCAAACAAATTCTGCTTTAATCTTCTAAGTTCCTACACAGCAGCTGGGAGTAATTTTTAAATTTTGTTTAAATTACATTTTAAAAACAACAACATCAACCAATAAATAAGTGAAAAACTTTAAGTATTAAAACCCTAAAAAAGTCCTGACATCATTTTGGGAAAGAGGAATGCATAAAACCATTTCAATACTATAATACTCTGAAGTTAAACATTATCTCACATTAAGAAATGCAAAGAAAGGAAGAAATAATATAAAAAGATACGAACACAAGATTTGTTTTCCAGTTACCACAGACCTTAGAAAGGAAATCTTATGTTAATGAATAGGTAATCACAGGAATGATCTGAGGACTGAAAACTTGAGTTATCCTGTGCAGGGCCAGGAGTTGGACTTGATGATCCTGATGGGTCCCTTCCAACCCAGCATATGAAAATACTGTATTTTACCACTGATTTGCTTTCCCATAGAATACAGATCCATAAGAAAAAAAAATATTAAAAAGATGCTCAGAGGACAACAGAATTTTATTTTAAGTAGCAGAGTAATTTCAAGATAGGCAATATCACCTCAGTTTTGTGAATTTTTTGGTAGTTTCCATTCCAAGATATCAGCTTTCGGTCTTTTCCTCCTCCTGATACCAATGTGCCATCTCGCAGCATACACAGGGCAAATATTCCACCCTCGTGTGCTCCTTGAACTGCGTGGCTTATTCTGTTGGTACCTGAATAGAAGAAAAAAAGGCATTACTACTGAAATGCTCAGCTTCAGATCTCCTTTCCCTCATTTTTTTCTCCAGTCATCTACTATCTCTCAAGGATTACAATTAAACAATGATAACAGTGGGCATGGGATATTGGACCAAAACACACAGACCCACAGGAGAGGCTGAATTAGTACATTTTACGATATATTCTACCCACCTCAAAAATGAGAATACACATACTTATTCTAGGTCAAGAACAAAATAAAATAGTTCATTTAAACCTTTCCAGGGGGTTTAAGCAAAATAATTTGACATCACATTTGACCTGCAGTAGCACTACACAACTTATCAACAAAAACCCATAACCCAGTCACTTTTATCCTCCAGATATAAGATATTCTACAGCCTCCAGATCCTGAACTTGTACCAAAGTCTGACTAAGCTAAAGGTCCTTATATATCTGGCAGACCATGCTGATCATTCTCCAGAGGAGCCTGTACTTATTGACTGATGAACTTGGCTTGTTCAAGTAGCTTCTTAGACTCAACACTGTCAAAATCAACTACATTTGATTAAGTATCTCAAATGTGGTGAATTACTATTATGAAGTACAAATAAATGATTATTGGTGATTCTATTACTGAAATGTGCACCTTGCATCAAAGTTTGGCTAACTTGATGCTTAGCACAAGTGAGGGGTTGATGAAAGTTAGGAAAAACCAATTGCCTTTTCCTCCTTCCATGTCTATGGATATAATGGGTCAGGCACAAATGATTTATATTGAGAAGTTTTTGCTAAGGGTACTCTGACCTGGTGGAAGCAGCCCTATCCTGCACACAGAGCTCTGAGTCAAAAACAGTGAAGGCAGAGTAAGTACACCGTACTAAGACAGAAAAACAAGAAAAACATTTTTGTCCAACCCTAAAGATCTGGCAGATGTTGAGATCTTGAGCACACAGAGAATTCCCTTTTATTTCTGGAAGAAAGGGCAGAAGAGGCTGCTTGTAGTCTAGGCAGAAATTAGTCTACCAACATGATGGCAAACTGGCCCCTGAGCAGTGCACTGCCCCTGTCTCCCTTGTCCGCTGGCAGCCCAAAATAACAATAAAGAACAGGTACATGGGACAGTGCAATTTCTAAAGTCAGTTTAGAAGGAAAAGTGTTGACATGCCTTGCTTTAAATTACCATAGGAAAAAGGAAAGGGAAATAAATGAGAAGCCAAGTTACAAACACCATATCCACCCCTGTCCCCAGCAGTGTACTGGTCAAGGAGATAATTAGCTGACAATCCTTGGTTGAAAAAGAAATCTACAAAAACAGCTCAGTAAGGCTCAACTGTATAACTGATTCACTGTATTGTTTTCAGGGTTTTTTATCCCTTTGAGTAGTATCTTGGGAGAAAGCACTGAGTAAATAGGAAAAAGCTGTCATTCACATCTCTTCTTCCTTTCCTAATAAGACCTCCTTTAAGGGATTCTCCTTATCCCTATGCATGGCATCTCAGGCACTAACTACATGTTTAGGATGTCGCTGCTGTTTGCCCTCTGGCAGGCATTGCCTTCTGCTGCCTAAAAAAAGGTCTCTTCTTTCTAGAAAATGCTTTTTAAGAAGTTCTTCCTATCCATCTGTTCTTCTGGAATAAAGCTGAAGAATTCAATTAGATCTGAATGCATTTTAGCTTGACTTCCTAGGAAAACAAATACTGCTATTTGTTGTCTTTTTTTAAGTGTGTGTCAATAGGCATAATTTCTGCAAAGAGTAGAAAGGGATAGGATAGGAGACTGGAGATCATCAATTACATTAACATTGTTTCTTTCTGTACAATGATTAAAGAAAGAACTTTTCTTGACATCTCTTACATCAGTAAAAGCCCCACATGCTGGCATAGCTCTTTGATTCAGTATTTGACCATGGGGAACACATTTGATAGAATTTTGTGCTCTAGCAGTTAGGTACAGATTTTCTTTAGCTTCTTGTAGAAAAGAATGCAGGCACAATCTGCCGGATAGGTCTTGGGAACGAGCTCAAGATAAAACAAAATTTATTCTTCTTGAAATTAAGCTCTACACTCAAGTCTACACTCACAGTCTAATATTAAGATGGAAGTGAATAGTAAAATTTTGTCTTACCTTTCCCCCAAACCAAAATGTTTCCACTTGAGTCTCCTGTAATAGTATCACCATTTTCAGAAAAGGTCACACACAGGACAAACTTTGGCTTCTCTTGTTTCTGTGTGGTTATGAAAAATATACACTCACAGCAACACACAACCCATGGATTTTAACTTTATGCATTTGGTTAATTTAGCTTAGTCTTATACAGCTCTATTATTACTTAAATATCTACAAGAGTTAAACACATTCCTACAGTCTAAACAGAAAAATCTGTGCACGGGCAGAAGATGCATCAGCTGAGGTTTGTGGCCCAGTCCTGCACCCTTTAATTGCAAGCTGGGGACAGAGTGAGAAGGCCTGCCAACATGTAACACATGACCAGGACTGCTCTGAGATAAACCAAATCCCCCAGCTACTGCAGAATGCCAAGGACTTTGAGTATTTAGAAATGGCTAAAGTTTCAAACAAGGTTTATTATTATAATTCTGAACTCCAAAGTTTCTAGGAGAAAAAAAAAGTATTACTAGAGGGTTTGGCCATAGTGTAAGAATTAAGGAATCATATCTTGAAAGAAGCCCAAGTTTCAGTAATGAAACTCCTGCATTTAAGACACTGACAGCAACAAAACAATTAAATGTGTAAGGTAACAAAAAACATCACTGGTAGCTTCTAAGGACATTATATATTCCTTGTTGACAACTTATGTGTATGATCTCTTTCTCTCCCAAACTAAAATCTGTTCTTTGCAAGGACCACCACCCTTTTCCAGCTATAACCATCATCAAGATCAACAGAGACAGAAGAGGGAGAAAAATCCATTAAAAATACATGAAAAATAAAACGTAACAAAATTTAAATGTATTCGCTCACTAACTCCTCCTGATTTCACACCAAGTATATTAACTGACATTGTAAATATTTGTTCTGACTATCCTTGGGAGCCACGACTCCACAAGAAGTTAACTGGCACTCACTGGAGTTATCTGCAGCCACTGCAAACATCCCTCAGTTGTGCATCAAGTGCTGTACAGCTTAGTCTATATTCAAGAACAAAACCAAATCAAAACCTTGAAATGAAAATTATATTTACCAAATAGTGGCCAGCTCAATCTGTATTTGAATGATGTATGTGCATGTGTTGGAGCAGAGCAGAGGAAAAGGGAAGAAAATTCTTACAGATGTATTTTTATGGGGTCTTTCACAAAATAAAAATCTCCTCCATCACACTCGTTCTCATTGTTTTTTAACCTGAGTTAATCATAGAGAGTTTAAAAGTAATTGTATTTTGCACAGGTTGTGGGTGGGAGGGTGGTGGTATGTAGCAAAAAGAACACAGGAAAAAGAATAAAAGGAACAATGGGTAATTGCATTTCAAAATCTCAGTGTGGAAGTTTCACCCATGGAAAAGTTCTCTGTGCCATACCATGAATGCCACCTGAGCTTCTGCAACATTTTGAGTTTAATAATGATCACTTCTTTGTATTTACTCAAACCATATTAAACCTTATTCTGTATGACTGTATCATTACTATAAACATAGAATTAGAGAAATATTTTATTTTACCTCAAATAATCCTTGCTTTTTAATAAGGGAATTGCCTTCTAGTGTCCAAAAATAAAGGTGTGATTTTCCACAAGTAACTATTATATTTGTATCAGTAGGGTGAAAATCTGCAGCAAATACAGCCTCATTAGAGCACTTGGAAAGAAAAAGAAAAACATTGTATCAAAATCTATAATACAAATAAAAGAAAACAATATAACATTGTTCTCTAGTTAGGTAAACTGATACTTCTGATATAAGAAAAATTCAGAGCTATTCATTGACTAACATAGTCTGGAAATAATTTGTAGTCAAAAATTTTATGTTATTATAAGTTAGTATCAAAATGTATCATTAAAAATCATGTCACATAATGAGCATTTCTATGCAAAAAAATAACTTTAGGACATTGTTATTGCACATGCTTCTATCATTGCTGCCTAAAATTTTCTAATCAATTCTAGAATGACAACACCAAAATTTTAAAAAATCCAAAACTATTGGGATAATCTTAACAGAGAGAAAATATTCCCTTTCTTCATGTTCCTTGCCTTTCATACAGTGAAAATGTTAAAAAGGCACAAAAAGTTAAATACAGAAAGACATTTTATTACAAGAAACCAGATCTACATACAAGCAAGTAGTACAAAATATCTTATTGCAACACCTTGACATCTGCCAGCTTTTCTTCTTTCTGCCAGTCCCACACTGAAAGCACATGGTCATTGGAGTCATCCACAGAGCACAGACTACTTCCTCCATTCTGAGGCAAAACATGGGAAATATTAGTGCATCACCAAAACAACAAGAGGAATATATAAATACACATTCAAAATAATTAAATACTTTTGTGTAAGTGGAGATATTTACACATATTTACACTTTAATTGTTATACTTTTAGTTAGATCTCTGTAAAATATAATAATTTTAGGGTCATTGTAAAGACTGCTAAAAAGGGACCTAGAAGAGGAACTCCTGCAAACTGCAGGTAAGTGTCAGGAATGTGGTAGGTATCTCTTTACAAATATTCCACTACAAAGTAGTGGAAATTCCAAAGGCAAACTGCACATGGTTATCTATTTTATTAAGAAAGCTTTTTGTGATAACTATACTGGATTTCTTTCCTTGCAATTTAAACCAATGTTTTCTTCTCAGAAGTCTGTTAATACAGGAAACTATTTTATTCTTCACATTGGTATAATGGACCAACATCAGAAAACACAGTAAGGAATTAGAAAACTTATTCTTGACAGGTGTCTTTTTTATAGTTATGACATTTATCACTCTTTCTAATCTTAATTACCCTAATTCCTCCATTCTTTCTTCATTCCTCAGGCCCACAACACGTCAGACACAACTACAAAAACTGTGCCGAAGCAACCCATGAGGTGGGGCAGAGGCAGGGCTAAGAAACCTGAAGAGAGGGCCATCTAAAGTGAGAGAAGTGCTGCTATTGAGTGGGAAGTGATGCTCAGAACAGGCCAAGCTGTGACTGAAATCACAAAGCAAACATTAAATACTGGCTGTCTTCTGGTGAATGCCAGTAGTGCTCCTGTGTTAGTCATTATGCATCTATTTCCCTCCAGAGGGTAGTTACAGAGCATTTGCTTACTAATCCTTTTTATTTATCCTTCAAAGTTAGATTTAATAGTTTATTAGATTTAATAGCAACCTAAACTGTTGGAAAAACTGGGCTGCAATCTTTCCTCCTCTACAGAGAAACCTGAGAGAAAAGACAGCTTGGAAGTTTGTTTTGGTCACCTAAATTTGAAAGATTTCAAAGATCTTTCCAGCAAACAGTCTTACTATGACTATTCATTTACTTTACTTACAGATTTAGAAAAAGCAATGCAAGTGACAGCTCGGTCAAAAAACCCCATTCCAATGACATGAAGTGTGTTCAGAGTAACAGAATCCCAGACACGCACATGTGGAGGCAATTGCTATAAAAGAGACACAGAAAACATCAGCTCAAACAATAATGGAGAAAACCCATCAGGATTTGAAAAAATGATAATGCATCTGAAAAAAAAAACCACAATTGAAGGTATAGAAATTATCAGAACTTCTCTAGAGTCACCCATGTAAGCACAGATACATTACAAATGGTTTGCTGGTTATTGTGCCTAGGTTCAGTATCTGGGACTGACTATGCAGAGTGTGCAGCATGTCAGATCTCAGTTTGTTCACTGAAGCTCATGGCCACTGAGATACTCTGCATGAACTGAAAATTGTTGATGACTTTGTGACATGGGATTTACTGGTAGGCCCAGGCAGAATTTAAAGTGTACAACTGAGACAACTCTGGTAAATGTAAAAGTGTGAAAAGAAGCTCAGGAATTTTTAAAATGCAATTAATTTCAACATCATAAAATTGGCTGGGGAAAATAACTTTATGTTCAAACTCTTCTTTACAAGGGTAACCAGAACGAGATTGCTTTTTGTAAATAAAATTCCAGCTGTACATCCTGGCCCCAGATCACGTTCCTGCGAAAGCCCCGGGGCTCCCCTCCCTCCGCCCCTCCCCTCTCGGCCTTTGGCTCCGGAGCCCCGCGATGCCTCCCACGGCCAGCAGGGGGCAGCCCTCGCCCGCAAGCAGCGAAATCGCACTTTAACATAAATAAATATATCTGAAAAAACCCGAAGGGCACAACAGTACCTCAGTTATGTAAGTGGTTTCTATATACCTATATACCATATTCCACTCAAGCACAAACGTCAAACTTTTAGGTTTTATTTCATAAATAAGATGGCAAGTAAATAAAAGCTCGAACAATATAATATAATAATTTATATTATTATATTAATAATATAAATTAATAGTTTACATAACTCAGCTAAGTTATCTTTATTGCATAACTGGTATTTCCTTTTTTTTCCCCCACTGTCCTGGTTTTGACTGAGATAGAGTTAATTTTCTTCTGAGTAGCTGGCGCAGTACTGTGTTTTGGCCAAGAATAATGTAGATAACGCAGATGTTTTGGCTGTTGCTGAGCAGTGCTTACCCTAAGTCAAAGACACTTCAGTTTCCCATGCTCTGACAGTGAGGAGCAGATGTGAAGCCAGGAGGCAGCATGGTCCAGGCAGCTGATCTGAACTGTCCAAAGGGATATTCCATCCCATAGAATATCATGCCCAGTACATAAACTGGAGAGTTGGCCAGGAGAGGCCAGCTGCTGCTGGGGCACAAGCTGGCCATCAGTCAGTGAGACATTTCATTGTACATCACTTTTCTTTCTTGGGTCTTATTTATCTCTTTTTGTTGTCTTTATTGTTGTTATTATTATTTAATTAAAATGTAATAATAACAACAACCATTCTTATTTCAAACCACAGGGTTTGTCCTTTTTCTAATCCTCCTCCCCACCCCACTGAGGGGTGGGAGGATGAGTGGCTGTGTGGTACTTAATTGCTGGGGTTAAATCATGACACTCAAAGTATTCAGCATATTGATAATCCAGATTTCATCCCAAAATTCTTCTTTGGCGTCTGCCTAAAAGTTTGCAATAGTTTGGTTGTGACAACAGCTGCATACTCTTCTGAGTCACTTTTTCATCATGGTTTTTACTGCCTCTACTTGTTCCCATTCCTTTTCCCTTTTGTTAGCTCTTTGGAGCAATGTTCATCTTACTCTGTTGAAACAGTCCCAGTTTACAGCTAAGCTTACGATAATATAGGTGGCAATAGAGAGGAAGATATTCTTGCCTAGACGAAGGCAAGAGTGAAAAATATTTTTTTTCCAACAAACAACCCAAACCCATTATTTGTAGTTTGGTTTTGGTGGCTGTGATCAAAAATAGCATTGTATATTGTACAATTTAATGTTCTCTTTTCCTCCACATCCATTTGCCCTCTCAGGTCTCCTTTGCAGCCTTACCCCTCCATGCCACTCAGAGACCAGCTCCAAATTTACTTTCAGTCTAAGTCAGGGATCCAGAAACCATTGATCAGTCTTGATAATGGAATTGGGTAACTGATAGCATGCAATAGGAAATCTCAAGTTTTGCTTCTGTTCAGTCCAAAAATGTCAGACCAATTACCATAGGAAAAGAATACAGCATGTATCTTCTTGATAACATATTCTTATGAAATATAAACAATTATACATCAGTAAAGAAGCCACTTACTTTCCCATCCTTGGATGTCCCTGCAACTTGACCTGTTGCTATAGTGATCCTATCAGGATGAACAGCCAGGCTACAAAAGAAAAGAAGAGGCCAAACTTTAATCTATTGACTATCAACAAGCTATTACTTGAGCTTGTAATAAATAGCCCTATTTTAGCCATATAAAGCACTTAGCATATGTGTAAACTCTTTAAGAATATAAAACCAGAGCTGACAAAACCATTGTCACATTCCTGTATTTTAAAATCCTCTGAATTTTTTTTCACTGTATCTGCTTGGCATGCCATTCTAGAGGCCAAGTACCCTATGAAATTAACTGTTGCAATAATTCATTTAGCTTTACAAACCAGAAAGGCAACCTCTTTCCAGTAAACCTGATAGCTTTGAAATACCTAGAGACAGAAAATTTGAAAGAAGGAAATGAGATGGAACAGGTCCAAGTTAAAAATCTACTTGTAAAACAACCAGATTATACACATAATTCAATTTATGAAACATGCTCACAATTCAAGCAGATTTGGTTATTAGGCCTATTTTTGGCTTTGAGGGACGATGAGCGTTTCATAATGCCTAATCTAAAGAAGGGATGTCAAACTCATTTCACCCATGAGATAATGCAGGTGCTCTTTTTCAGCTACACTGTGCAAGAAGACTGATACCATCAAGATAAACCATATGTTTATTTAGATTTCAGTTTAAGGATTCTGATATTTGCTGGTATCTAGTATCCTCTGATCTTCAACACACTTAAATCACTTTGAAGCCCAATCTGGCATGTGGGCATGGCAGCAAACAAACCAGGTCTAGTTTACACGCCATCTGCTATGGAGTCGGCATGCCTGAAGATTACCAGGAAGGCCACAGGTGAAATTACTATTTTGCTGGTTAGGTTGAACCTAAAGGAACTGTACAGGGCACCCAAGCCCTGCTGAAAGGCATTAATTCAATCCTACTTTTAAAAAGCAAGGAGAAGATTCTAAAGAAGAAGATAATGCTCAACCATCCTAAAAGAAGAGTAAGGAAAATGAGTGGATCTATCTCAAATATTGATTTATGAAGAAAAAAAGAACTGTTATTAGATGACTTACCACTTCACATCATCATTATGACCAGTGTAATGTCTCTGAAGCTGCTCCTCGACGTTGAACAACACAACTACAGACGCGATGAAGTACACGGTCTCGCCCGTCGGCAGGAGATAGAGATTGCTGCGGCAGTCCCGGCCCCTATAGCCATAGCTAGAGTGTTGGTCAAGCTGCAATAACATCATCTACTGATGAAGAATGTTAAAAACAAGAAAAAAAAAGGATTCCCTGTCCTTGTAGTCTGTAGTCTCTGTCCTAGAGTCTCCACCTCTTGGCTTGAGCACAGCTTTATTACTTGACAACCTTCAGAATTCTTTCCCTTACTACAGTAGAGAGTTGAAGCACTTCGCAGACTTTAAAACCTACATATCCTGCAGAAAATACATAGCAAAGAATAGGGGAATTTGCAGACGTACTATTCCTTTAGCATCCTCTAGAATTTGCTAAGTACCAGACAAAGGCAATACTAGGTTTGTCCCAGGTGTATTTACTATTTACACTGCTTGACTAATTAAAATAAAAAAATTAGACTTGATAGAAACACTAATAAGTCATTCAGCACATCTCCCTGCATTTACACAAGGATTGATTGCATTATCCTGTGTGTAGGTTGACTCATTTCATTAACGTGGACATGACCAGCCAGATGGATAAAAACCATAAAAGGGTTATATCATCCATTCCAGTTTATTTTTGTAGTATTTAAAAGGCAGTGGCCCAGTTCTGATGGTAGTCATATCAATACAAATATAAAATTAATTCAATGAAATGAGTGGAATAATAATCTCATTTAGACTGAATGTTAAATCAGCCAAATTTTGTAGTTTTATTCTTCTGAAGAGTCATTAGGGACTACAACTATTTTGGCTTTCTTATTTTTGATGGGAACAGAAAGAAACAGCATTAGCAGAATCTTGGCAAAACAGAAGTGCATTCTAATGCAGTCAGTATGGAGGAACTGGCTGTGAAAAATATATGGGCAGATAATGAAACCCCAATTACATGATCTAAACAAGATACTTGTGCACTATTCTGGTTGGTCAATTATAAGCCACTCAAACTAAAATAGCTATGTTAACATTGTTGAAGTAATAAGGTCAATAGTTATCCTATATAAATACCTATTTTAGAAGAAACAGCTTGTTGATTTTTTCATATAAGTGCAATAGAACTAGTGCTGCATACTCAATTATTAAAGTGTGAATTCGGAAATAGAGCTTTTCGTTTCATAAACTGAAATATCTCAGCCAAAGTTTTTTGAGATATTAAAGTGCAATGACATTGAAACAATCAATATCTTCAGTTAAAAAGAATTTACTATCAATTTGAATCTGTCTTTGATGGTTGGTGTTACTACTCTAGATTTCTGGACAATTATTTATTTATTGAAATTTACTTTTCTCTCTCTAAGCCCAGATAGCATTATGAATTGAAGCCAACAGATTTCCCTAGTTCAACAACACATAATCAAATTTATAGTGAACCAGCAGCTGAAGTTAGTGTAAGGAATTGAACTTCTAAAAAAAGTGAAGAACATTACACAGACATGCATAAGGAACAAATCTCAGTGCACAAAAATAGCCAAGACTACATTCTTTAGGGAAAATCTCCTTTCTTTACTATTCTTCCTGTGGGGAACAATGCTGCATTCAACCCTTCACATGACTGCTGTTGTCAAACACTCCATTTCTTTCTATCAGCCTTTTTTCTCAAATGCAAACTCCTGGGGTTGATCCCTCCTTCTCCTCACTGTTTCCCACACTCGGATTTGGTGTCTTCAACTTGGATTTGGTGAGTTGGCATTTCAGGGTGTGTTACCTTGACCTTTTCTTTTCAATTGGCCTGCAGTTTTTGTTTCAAACCTCCTGCTTGCCAAGTGAGTTGCTCTTAAATGGATCTGGGCAGGCCACTGCTCCCACCCTGATGTCCTGATTTCTCACTTGGATTTTGCATTTCTGCTCCAGCCCCCCTCACACTTCATCACTCAGTGGTTTTGTTTCTTCATGTCCTAATATATATGATAATATATCAAAGGTGTGAACCTTTTTCAGCTTACCTAGACAGCTGCTAATGTGATGGTAATAACCCTTTATGGTTCTGGTATGCCCTGAAATCTGTACACATTAGATTTTCTTCCTGCTGCTTCTCATCATACTCTGCTTTCCTTTCCATTTGTCCACGCCACCTCCAATATCTTGTTTCCCTATCCCCATTCTTACATTATAGAGCATTTCTGGCTGTACTCCCACAGCTGGACTCATTTATTTATTACAAAGATGTTTTTTCCTATTCCAGTTCCGTTACCCTCCAATCAAACAGTGCAGCTTCTCCAACTCAACTGGAATGAATACCTGCAATATTTCTTGGTTTTCTGCTGTATTTCTCTTTCTTCTTAAATAATCTTATGCTCCTGCTCACAGTTTCTCTTCCCCTCATTACAGTTTACAGTTGTCAAGTGGGCATTACCTTCTCCCTCTTTGTTTTAAATTATTTTTTAATTGTCTTTCTGAACCTTACATATACCTAGTCATTGCTATAAATACTAAGTATGAGTATCATGATTGGAATTAATTGCAAATAAATTAGAAGCTAGCAGAGTATTTTTGAAAAAAACAGAAGAAGCTAGCAGAGTATTTTTGAAAAAACTACCTCCTCCTCAGTTCCATTTAGAATAACCATCTAGGGTTAGTTAGATTGTTTTATTAATTCACACCTCTTCTATTTCTAGACAACCTTAGATAGGATTCTGCTGGGTACAGACACACACCTGGAAGAACATATGAATATTCACACTAAAAGTAATATTCCATCTGGCAAATATTCAGTCATTTAAATAAGCTTAAGTGAGAAACTAATGAGACTGAAATCATGACCTACTCTAATTATAATTTCTTATAATAGTCTGAAATATTGACGTCAGGTTCCACCTACATGTTGCTAATGACATTCTGCTCTGTTTCATGTTTGGGTGTTCTGTTGTTTCAGCAAGCTTTCTAACACTTCCTCCTTTTCATCCTTAGGCCCCCTGAGCCAGGAGCCCCTTACAACTGCAAAAGAAATCATTCAGTTCTGTTGTGATAAATGGTGAGAACCTCTACAACTAGATGGCAAAATGCTGCAAGCAGCGTTTATCACTGTAATCTCACCTGTTTTATTAATTTTATGGATTTTTTATCTTTTTAACACATCTTCACTTATTTGTGCATGCACTATCTATGCAGTTCCAGCAGAATGGGATAGAACATACAGCCTCAGCTGCAATAGGAATAATAAGAATGGTTACTAAATCTGTCATTAATCTCTTGTGAATACAAAGGGACTTTTGGAAACTCTGAACGTTCTGAAACCACATGCAGTTCTATTTATACAACTTTGAAAAAGACTATATGCAGTCTGTCTTCTTTTATGAAGTCAAAGTAATTTCCTATTTTCTCTGCAACCAGAAGAGATTTTTCTTTCAAGAGAAAACCTTATGAAGACGTCACCTCTCTAAAGATAATGGATATTACAAATAAACTCAGATCTTGTGTTTATATTTATCTTGAATCATCCATTATATATACTAAGATTATATAAAAGTGAAATGTCTTTTTAAAAATAAAGAATATATTCTGTCATTCTACTTAAACGTGAAATAGGAAAACTTTTGTATGTAATGAAACACTGATTTCTTTCAAGTTAGGTTTCTGCAATTATGTCCACTCCTAGAAGTCAGTGGAAAAATTCGGTCATTCGATATTTATGGTGTTTCAGCCCCCTTAAGACACAAATCCAAATATTATTTTATATATTATATTTTATAAATGTTATGGCTAAGCATGGATCAGTTGCAGAGCACTTCTCAATTCAGGGCTTATTCCAGCTGAATGTACCATCCTCTTAAGGACAATGGTGTATATTTTATAAAACAGTTAAAAATGATAAATTACTGCTAAGAACTAGAAAAAAACCTGAGCTTGTTTTATGCATATTGTAATTAATAATCCAAGCTCACTACATTCTTATGATATGCCTAGTTTAATCTTTGGCTAATTAGAATGCTTCAGACTTAACCTTCAGGCAACATTTAGCAAAATCTTTCTTAAGCTGCCACCCTGTACTTTACAAGGTGAAAAACAGCAGCCTCAAGAAATTAACACCTATTTTCAATGGAATGTCACTTCACCAATTAAATGAACCCTACGACCTTAATCGTGCTATACTTTAGCTCGAGAAGTTATTTAACCCAAATCATTATGGAATGACTGATTTCCAGTAGTCCTCCAGCACAGAAAGGATACACCCATTCCAGTTTAAGCCTCTTGGCTGGTAGTTCTACTTTTGCTTCCAAATTGTAAGATTCCACTTGCTCTTTGGGCATGTACATGGTAACAGGACGTCCACGAAGAAACATTTTTACGTATCCTTCCTCTACAAAAGGTCAGAAATGTTTAATGTTACACAAAAAAGCCATTGGGGAGAATTCCAGTGCTCCTCCATCCCTTCCCACATAACAGTTTGGTGCATTACAATTATAAAATGACATGCAATCTCAAACTTAGAAATTTAGCAGGATTTTTTTTTTCATAAATCATAATCACTAAGCAGAATTTTTAAAAAACATATGAAGTCCCTTCTTCCTCTAAATATTCTGAGTAGCATAATTAGAACTAAACAATGTCGTGAAGAACTACAAAACAGAAAGGTCTGAAATTGAATTTTTAAAAAAAGTCACAATATTATGGTTTTTAAATATTAAAAAATGGAGGGAAATACATCAAAGATTACAATTAACGCAGAAATGCCACTTAAAATTAATTTTATTTTTTAATCAATGTTTACAGTTGAGCATCAGCATCTAAATTATTTTCCAACACTCAGTCGCATTCTTTGCATCCCAGTGTAAAGATATGCTTTACACTTGATACAGTGTTAGAGATACATTCGAAATAAGGAACACAAACAATTAGTAAGAGGAATCATGCTGATGTACATGCAGAAAAGATATGTGCTTTAAGAATTACTAAACATTGAAAAAAGAATGACAACATTGACAGCACATTAAAAGAAAGGAAAATGACATACAGGAGAGAAGCTACAAAAACTCAATTGGCTGACAGAAGTAAACATTTCTAGAAGAAAATACTATAAGTAATGTGTTGAATTGATAAGAAATATTTTTGGGGCAGAGAAGCAGAGATTAATAACAGATCTGGAAGTACTGACTTGGGGACTTCATGGGGCTTATAAAACTAGGAGATCTGGGAAATGCCATGAAGGTCTGACTAGGACTTTTGGGAAGTGGCAAGGCCAAAGTGGGTGTCCTGTGAACTTCTGATGAAGTTTGTCCAGATTCAGAACGTGCTGGCTCTTGCTGCTCCATCGGCAGATCAAGGGGTTCAGCCTTGTTCGCATGCGAATCAAGCAGTTTTGGAGTCAGTGACATCTGTAGAGTTACTAGACAGAATAATCGTGGGCACAGAGGAAATGGAAGGGCAAAAGTAACAAAAATCATGTAAATGAAAAAAAATTATACAATTTAGGACTGTTAAATTATGCTACGAATTTTAAAGTATCATTACAAATATACCACTATTTTTTAAATTTGAAAGCTAAGGCTTTATTTTAATTGGAAATATGCATACGCTACAAATCTTGTCTAAATTAATAAGAATTATTGATTGAACATATAAACATTATAGCAATGCTCTAGATGTGTATTTTGCCTTTAGACTAAGTCATATGGGAAAGAGACCTACCTGACCTGTCACAGTACAGTTACAGTTAGGTCTCTCTAGCTACATTTACAGAATGCATACATAAAATGAAAGCAACAGAAAAGTTAATGCTAAAAAGAAGAGATAATAATGATGAAGTAATGGTGACAGAAGGTTGGAACTTCAAGATGTCTGTTAAAATGATAGAATATTGGAATTGTTTTAAAAATCTGCTCCAATATGTCTGTATTGGAAAATAAAATAGAGGGTAGAGCATTAAATAGCAAAGCATTACAGCACTATTTGTATGCGCATGCAGCATCTATTTAATGAGCTTCAAACACGTGCCAACACTGCTGATGCTGGTGCACCGGAAGTCAACAGATTTTCAGCAATGACAACTACTGGCTGTACTTATCAAAGGCTGTGAATGAACCAAAGTTTAATTCACCAAGCTGCTTTTCTCACCTGAAGCTTATGGGACTCATAAAACTCGCATTTAGCCATCTAAAGTGGGAGCATTTGACCAAGTCACACCAGACTAGGAAAGTATATACTAACCAGTAAACTATATCAAGTATATTACAACAAGTAATCAGCCCTCAGAATGTGTGTATGTCTCTCTCCCAACTGTAAGGAGAAACTTAGGCTGATTAGGTCAGTCAGGCATAGAGGTCATATTGTGTACTTATTTCTAACTTCTGGTAATATTCCATCTCTACTAGTTTTTGTTCCTAACCCAAATATGTTATCTACACAATCAATCTCCATTTTTTCCTACTTTTCTTAAGTAAGTTTATAAGACAGCAGAGTACTAAATGTAAAGATATAGATATAAAGACAGACAATCATCAAACTACAAAGACAGACCAACAGTGAAACTTTTAGACAAATGTATCTTTTACATCTGCGGTTTTGTAAATTTGATATTGTTGTTGCATAAATGAACAGTTAATGAGCTGAAATAAGAAGGGCATCAATGCCAGTGGGATCTGCAAAGGAGACCACCACTGATTGCAGGTATAAATTTGTACAAAGAATACAAAGAGGTAGAGACTCTAATAGACTTTGCTTTGAGAACAAACATTTTTTGCTTTGTGAAATTCACATTTATTGCAAAGCTGAAAGACACTGATTAGTGGAAAAACTGTTAGGATATAGCTATTTCTAAAAAGCAGATAAATCTGTGATAAGATCACAGATATAAACATGCATCAAAAGTGAGCATATTTACACTACAACTTAACTAGAGCTTTAGACACCAACATGGTATGTTTATCAAATGTAACACTGCTTTATGACACTAAGCAAAAAGCAACAAGAAATTAGTTGTAGGCCTAGGTCTGCTTATTTAAGATTCAGAAAAATCTACAATCTACTCAATAAGAAAAAGCAAGAAAAAACAAAGGCTTCTATGATCATGTTAGGCTAACAGCAAAACAGCCAACAAAGGGGCAAATTCTATACGAACTCCAGCAGAAGTGCAGAATGCCATTTCAAACACAGTGAACATCCACGTGTTGCCATATAGCTCTCTCAACATTTTTTTTCTAATTCAAATTCTTAGGACTAAGTCCATAGGAATATAAATTATAACCCGTTATTATGATTAAAGTGCACCTGAGGGTTATAATTCAGTAGATCACATAATAAATGGTATAGCATTTTTGTTTCACTCAAAAGAACTAGATAAGTTTTAACATTGCAAAATGCACACAAGTTAGAAAACAGCTGTATATATATTGATCTTTTATCCCACCAGAGCCATTTTGCTTCGAGAGCTATGAGGTTTTGGAAGTGAAGCCTACCTTTGCAGTGTGTCACACGGCGCTTCCCTTGTGATTACAGAGACAGAGACAGAAGGGCTAGATAAAGATGTGTTTGAATACAATAACTCTCTAAATACCTGCTCTACAGTCTGTCCAGTCTTAGTCTGCTGCAGGCTAACCTGGGGCTTGACAAAACACTGAGCCATACACTGGGTAATTACCTTCTAAACCTCTTCCCTCAGTTAGGGGCCTCTGTTTGGTTCTACCATTAAAACACTGGCTTGAACTCCATTATGCAACCATATACTTAAGTAAAATACCAAGTATAACCTTAGAAAAAACTTTCATTTCAGTAGGAATTTTGTCTAGGTGAGAAGGACATCAATGTAGTGTCACATCTGTTTAATTACTGACTTTTATCTATGGGAAAAGTGGCAGAAGAAAAAATATTACAAACACCTTTTTTACATGGTGTAAGGGAAGGAGAAATATTAGGCAAGGAAAGCATATTCTATGCAAATCAGAAGTTTTCTTTTTCTAAACCATCAGTTTTCATGGAAGGAAAATGAACCCTGACTATATTGTCACAAGAGACTAAAGCGCTTATTTAATTTTATGTTATTATAACTTCAAAATCAGTTACATTAAACCTCAAAATATGCCTTAAAAACTTTGTTGGATGCTGAGCAATCCATGCAGTAAACAAAAGATCTCCAACTTTTTCAGTTTAATGTATGATTACTGTCACAGAACTGTGCATAAAAATAATACAATACATCTGATAAATCAACATGTTTTTTTTCCTTCTCTATTTTGCTAAAAGAAATCTTTATTTTAGTTGTAGTTGACTTTTCAGAACAAATATAACTGTTACATACACTACTCAGCTTCACATTTGTATTGAGACTCTTCAAAATTTTTAACTGTTTAATAACAAGGACAAATATTGCTTTCACTTACACCTACTATTTCACTTTCAAAATCTTTGAGCAGGGATAATACCTAAGTTGGAAAAAATTGAAGTACTGTTCAAATTAAACATAGATTACCAAAACTGTAGTAACAAACCACCTTTTTTTTGTAATTTGACAAATTACATTACAATCTTCAGAGGGCACCATTTTATGTTTAACATTATAGCATCATAGCTGGAACTTGGCACTGCTTTAATTACCAAAACCTTAATACTGCTTTGAAAGAGAACACATATGCAGAGTAAGAAGACATGGTCTTTTTTGTCCTTGTCTTCTTACAAAGAATCTGAACTGTAAAATAAATCTATTGCATCAATAAAATCTAGAGTGAACTGATCAACTTTTAACAATATATCAGTAGCAGCCTGTAAGTATCATGTTTAGATTCCCAATACCAATTTCTTGGCATCCACAGAAGTGGGGGAACCCAATCACAGTTACTATCTGCTTAAAAATTGTAAAAGTTCCTACCTGCACTGAACATTGGTTCCTTGGGTTTGCTGTGAAAATAATGAAGAAATTACTATTTAAAAAGCATGTACATACAGTCTGCACATGTATATGTATCAATATAACATAAAATTTAAAATATAATATAAATTTTTGTTGAGTGTATGTATGAATAAAAATACTTTTTTAATTAACTTATTTACAAGGTAAATCCCCAGGCAAACACAGTTAAAACCAGTAAACATCCTTGATGTCACTTTTACAATCAATTCTCATGACATTCTCAAAGTTACAGATCTTCCTCTACTAACTACCAAATTCTCTTAGTTTGTGAAGTTAGTCCAATTACAGGAGAACACAGAAACTGGCCATGAGCAGCTGTATGATTTTTTTTGTTTCCAGCCTTGATTTAAGGAGCAAATCAAAGTTTGAATCCTGCTTTTTCCAAAGACTTCACATAAAACATGGAACTTCCCAGTTGTTCCTTGGTGCATGACAGTACTTGGTAAAACACAGAAAGCACATAACCATGATTAAAATGTCTTCTATTTGTCACTGCACAGGTGCCTGCAAGACAACTGGAAATGGGTTTTTCTTTTTGTCTTCAGAAAATATTTGGGAATACTTGAGGGGAAAATACATACAGCATGTTGAGAAGCTCTCTGGATAGTACTACCCTGGCCAAAAGGAAAGAATCTTTGTCAAGAAATTTGTTCCTAGTCATTTGTTATTTTTGTCCTTTGCCCCTGTAAATCAAGTTTGAGAGTGTTGTTTCTGATGAAGAATGCAAGTGACACAACGTTATATTATGCAGTTATTTCTCTTCCCAGTTCTCTCTTTTTTAATGCAATAAAACTTTTGAAGTATAAGGTAACTGCTGTAAGTTTCTTAGGGTGATCCCAAAATGGGTGAACCCCCCATCTGATGGAGAAATGCTGAAGCATGAAGTACTCCTAGAGCTTGATGCCATCTCAACACCCTCTCCTAGACTGCAGTGGGCAGTAAGGAAAAATCAAAAAAAGAAACAAGACGGTGTTGGATTTTTGCACACAGTTTTTTTTAAGCATAAAAGATTCCCTCTCACTACAATGAAAGATGTAGCAAATAATTCTATTGTATTTTTTCCTTTGCTTTGGTTTGACACTTATATTGAGAATAATACTTTACTTAATGACAAACCCAAACCAAACCAAATTAATTCTTATTCTACTCCTGATTTAGCAGCTTTCCATAATATCAGCCTTAGTGCTAATCGTGCATCAAAATACATGCTTCAAGCTGGCATACACAGCCAATGTCATTTATATAAATAGCATGATGTGCTGCCATTGTTAACACCAAGATGAACATTTTCTCTTACAAATGAAGATATTTTTAGAAAACAAAAAAACTTTATGGGATGAAGCACTAGTCAGAAATGCTGCCATATTAGAGACAAAACCGTCCCTAGCTCAGAACAGACCATGCTGACCTATTCAAGCTAATCAAGCAAATGTGAAAGGCTGATTCATGACAGTAATAAAGCAAATCATCTGTATTTCCTAATTATACAAACCCTAACCACACACAGCTCAGAGCTCTGACTACCCTTTTCCCTGAACTTGAGTCACATCCTACTTAACTAACCCTCAGGAAAGCTTACTCCTGGCTGATAGCTACAGGAATAGGGACACTTCACAGTAGCATGGGAGATTATGGTCATCTCCTTAAGCTTAAAGCTTCTTGAAAGAGCTTTCTGTAGCATTCTGCCTTTGCATAACAGCTACAACCCTACAGGCTTTCAAAAACAGAGGCATGGAGTATCTCACACTGGAAGGGATGCAAAGGGGTCAAGGATACAAACAGACTGCGAGTAGATGGTTAGGTTAACACACCCTTCCTCACTCTTTCACACATACAGTCAGCTTTTGGGGGACAGTCTTATTCCCAGCGTTCAGAATCATCAATTTCCTTCCCATAACTCTGGCTTTGTATTTTGTATGGCTGCTCAGTTTTGACAGGAAGCATGAGGCAAGTCTTTAGCCAGCCTCTTCCACAGGATAAGGACACTCATTCTTCAAGGAGGTGAAAGCTGGGGTGCTGAACAGGCTGCACGGGACAGAAATGAGGGAAAAAGTCTCTAACCATACAATGACTGTTCTCATAGTGGTACCAACATCACGAGCACCAGCTGAAGCAATCTAACACATGCTCTTGATTAGGTCCTTGGAATACTTGCACTTTACTTAACCGTTGCATGCCTTGTGTGCTGGACTTTCTTCCCAAATCCTAGAGTGAGTGATTTCAACCCTTTGTGACCTAACAATTGCAAAATGACATAACCATTGATTTTGTTGAAATAGGGTGTAAAAATTAAAAATGCATCTCAAGTACAGTGGTCAACCTTAGAGGAAAACCAAAACATTTTGCAGATAACCATTATTTTGTTGCAATGTTATTATTTCTCAGCTATTTTGGAATCAATTTTCAAGTGCACAGTATAACTATATAACTTATAGAAGTCATAGCTTTCCTTAATTTAAGTGAATAAACTAATAGTCTCACTTCATGTGCTTAGTAGCTTTGAGATATAACTAATTTCATATAATTGTCACCCTAAACAGGTAGCAGGATCAGGATATATCCATAAAACTGACTTTGTAAAGCACTGTATTGTTTTAGATTTTGACCTGTAGATCTTCCACTGCACAACACACACTGAATTAATCTTTGGGCACTTGATCTAATGCAATTTTTTATATAAAATACACAGAGCAAGGGCACTGTAGGATCGTGTTTGTTAAAACTTTTACAAAAATTATAATAAATTACTACAGCAAATTGGAAAAGCAATGAGATTCACCACTGGAGGCAAAATAATTGCTGATCATATTTCAGAAACAAGTCTACCCATCTAAGTATAGAATCTTGTTTTTTAACAAAAACTATCCATAAGACGTTTGTTTTGTTTCTAGAAGATAAAGTTATTTTAATCAATGAGATCACCACATAATGGCTACTTATGATATGTGTGATTGAGTAGGAAGTAATACATAGGTGCAAAACAAAAAGCAAAGCCTTGGAAAGAAAATCCAACCATTTCAGGAGATCAATATAGAAAACAGCAGCTCCATGCTAATAACTTCACCAAGGAAAAGTGCCTGCACAGAGTTACACACCATTGCAACAATTTACAGAATCTGCTGCTTAAATTAGAGTGAGCTGGTTTTTTAGCTGTCCCTTCACTGGCCATTATGGATTTTGCTTGGTTTTGCCTTTCAAACCTTTCAGGCTCACTTGTCCCTAAGATTGTTGATGCTTGGTTTGCTGATTCAGGTGTGTGCAGATAAACATTCTCTACAAGGGTCTGAGAAAAGACTTTGTTCAAATCTGCACATGTTCCAAACTAATAATAGATTGCTTTTCCTCTCAAAAGTAACACTTATTTATTGATATTATGTATTGCTACAGTTTTTTTCAGTCATATTTGTCTTTTAGAAATGTTGAAGTACAAAAATCTTAGAAACAAAATGAAAACCACACCTATTAGTTATTTGGTGCTTATAATTATCTTACAAAAATGTTAAGGGAAAAAAATTCAGATGCTAAGATAGAGTCAAAGTTCTGTAAGTACCAGAAGGCCCAGTCCTTTGGCATTCTGTTGGCTTATCAAAACTTCACTCACATGCATAGATGCAGAATGCAAACAAGATGTTAATTTGTGTAAATATTACATCGTCCTTAGTTACAATTTTATAACATTTTCTCTCATAGTATTTAAATTTTTTTCATTGTTCCTTTAATTTGCTAAGCTTTTCACTGAGTCACAGGTCAGGTTGGAAGGGCACAGTTGTTCACCTGGTCCAGCCTCCCTGCTCAAGCAATGTTGTACCAGAGCACATGGCACAGAATTGTGTCCAGACAGTTCTCAGATATCTCCACTGAGGGAGACTCCACAATCTCTCTGGACAATCTGTTCTAGTGCTCAGTCACCCACATGGTAAAAAAATTTTTCCTCCTACTCCTGTGCATCAGTTTCTGCCCATTGCCTCTACTTATTGCTTGGCACTATCAAGAAGAGCCTGGCTCCATCTTCTTGACACCCTCTGCTCAGATACTTGTAGACATCGATGAGGTCCCCTCTCAATTGTCTTCTCGAGGATGAACAGGCCCAGCTACCTCAGCCTTTCCTTGTAAGAGACCTGCTCCAGTTCCTTGATCAACTTTGTAGCCCTCTGCTGGACTCACTCCAGGAGCTCCATGTCCCTCTTGTACTGAGGAGCCCAGAACTGGATACAGCACACTATTCCTTGTGGGATCTTCCACTACTTGTGACAGGAAGTTGTCATCAATGCTTTCCAGGAACCTCCTGGACTGTTTGTGCTTTGCTGGGTTGCTTCTCCAGCAGATGTCTGGGTAGTTAAAACCTCCCACAAGAACCAGGGCCTGTGACTTTAAGGCTGCTTCAAGCCGCCTGTAAAAGACCCCTTGCACTTCCTCCTATTCAGGCAGCTTGTAGCAAACAGCCACAAAGTGCCCCCCTTACTAATCTGCCCTTTTATACCAATCCATAACTTAGAATAAGTTCCATAGTTGGCACGCTTGCTGTCTTGCTTCATAGCTGAAAACATAGGCCAGAAACCAAGCTATTAATAATGTAATTATTCATATTTGGGTTGTAAAATAGTACACAACCAGCTCAGTCACTCCTTACTCAAGCAAATATGCTAAAGGGATAAAAAGGAAGGAATATTTTGTGTCACACCATTGACAATGACTTGTGTAATGGCATTGATGTCCAAAGAGAGCAGGTAAATTAAGTTATTAGTTGAGCTTCATTAACAATGTGTTTTTGTGCTCACATAATCAGTGAGACAGTGAAACAGTACTATCAACACCATTTCTAGCAAAGGAAACTGCAATAGAACAGGTCAAATGAAATAGCCAAAACTAAATTCTGACTAGGAAATACAGGAAAGAACTGCTTGACCTATACTGACAATATTGATGAACCTCAATGAAACAGCTATTTGTTCAAGGCTATCCTAAGTCTGAAACCCTTGGACAAGATATCCTCTTTTCTCTGTGCTGTCAGCAATACAGAGAAGCATGATCAAAGATACACAGAGATAGGCATCACTTCATTCTGCTTCATTGAACAGCACTTGCATGTAAACCTCTCCGTTTATATTTAATCTGGCTGTCAGATCAAGGCATTCATAGTTCAGAGACTTGCTGGACATCAATCTACATGTGGGATGTGGTGACCGAATGCTTCTCAGCAATTGTTTTGGTTTTTCTTCCTCTTTCCTTCACTTCTTAAACTACCTTTATCTTGATTTATGAGTTTTCTCACTTTTGGTCTTCCTATTTTCTTCTCCTCATCCCACTGGAGGACAGGAAGTGAATGGCTGTGTGATACTTAGATGCCAGCTGGGGTCAATGCACCACAACCATAAACTCAAAGAAGCACTTGTCAGGAATATAAAGAGACCAAGGGAAACCACTAAGATATTAGAAAAGGCATGTTTAATAATTATGAACTTTCTTGGGAAACTCTAAGTTCTCACACTATTTATAGTTTGGAAATAAAGCAAATAAATTTTATCTAAATATGAAAACCTGTTTTATTTCAAATGTTTTAATATATACTTTGGTCCAAGAATTGGAGCTTTGTGGAAAAAAAGCTTCCAATATTTTAAACAAGATAAACTAAGTTCACTAAAGAAACTAATTTCATTATTAGAGCAGGAGGCAGAGAAAGGGGATAGATACTTAGATGACATTACCTTTCACTGTTCTTTTTACCACTAGATGAACTGCTGGTGGAACCAGTGCGGTTGCGACTCCCTTTGGAATCTCCATAGCTTTCCCTCCGACTTCCTGGGGACACACGCTCAGCTGAACTGGTTCTCTTAATGGTGCTAATAAAACAAGGAGCAAGTTTCACAGTGGCACTTGTAAAAATATATATTCTACAATAAATACTTATGAGAAATGTATCAAGTAGAACACTGACCCTAAAAAAGTAACTATGATTTTTAAAAAAATCTTAACTTGATTTGTTAAAGAGCCTATGTAAGAGCTTTGCTGAGTGTCTGGTGCAACAGAGACATACTGCTTTTTCCTTAATCATAAAACAGAAGATGGGATAAACCAATTTCATAGAGCAGTTGCAATCACTTTTCCGGGTCACATTTCAAATCTCTGACTACCACTCCATACTTCTGAACTTTTGGATTCTCTTATGAAGAAGTGAAAGATTTAAAGAAAAAGCATATTGTCTGACATTTCCAGACAGACTACAGAGAATGCCAAAAGTATGTTAAAATTTGAACACAAGCAAGCTAACTTTGGGTCCTTATCCAATAGAAATTACTCTGTGGTTCAAAGCTAGTTTTAACATACTCCAAACTGCAATTAATGGTGAGCTAGCCTGCAATTTTTTATTGTTAACAAAAATATATGCTTCCTAGTTACATGTATGAATAGATTAGATTCCCCACATGTCCTGACAGGAGGTTTCCCAAAGGCTTAAAGCTCACCCTACCCTCTCACTCTCCAACCATCCTTCCTGCCAAGATAGCAACCAAGGGAGCTCCTGTGTGCCATTACGGCACCCCTTAGACATCCAGCTCTCCGTGATGGAAAAATAGGAGCCAAAACACAAGCAGTGCTACTTAGCAAATTACGAGAAGCTCATTCAGAACTCACACCTTATAGAGACAAATTATTGACCAAAGCACTTCTCCCTAAAGCAGTGCTTCCTATCAAGAGAGGGAGAAGCTAAGGGTGAGGTCCCAAAGCAGGTAATGCTTTATGCATTGCTGCAGGCCCTTGGCAGCACAGAGACTCAGGCAGCAGCACCCAGACTGAGGCAGGAATCACCCCCATGGCAGCAGCTGAATAACAGGACTCAGTGTCAGGGTCTCATTTCCCCCCATTTCAGTCCTGTACTTCCTGTACTATTTTCTGCCCTACAGAAAACACAATGAAAATATCCCCTTTAAGTTATAAAATCCCCATACTAAATAACCACCTTCAGCAGCTCTCTCACCCCAGAAACCAGGGACACCAATGATTGCTTTCCAGCTCACACCTCTCCACCCAAATCCCAACCACAACTTCCATCCCAGTGTGAAAATTTCAGTACTTGCTCCTTTAAGGCCAGTCTCATCCTAGTCACACCTTTTATCATCCCCCCTTAGCCACCTCCCCCTGTGCCTCCATACACCCCCAGAGCTGCTCTGCTTACCAGAACACTCATCTCATTCTTGAGGACTATGCCAAACCCCCCCAGCAGTCCCTAAGAGCTATTCCTACCCTGTCATCTTAGTCAGCTCCTCTGGCCCTGTCCCACTTCATGTAAGGTGTAAGTTGCTCTCCATAACTAGAGGAACCAAGATAGACTTTTCTGTCTGGTGAAAAAATGCTTAGCTTAGCAATTGTACACCACCTGCTTTAAAAAACCCCTACCTTATTTCTGCTCCCCCATATCTTTTTACCAGCAAGGAGGGTAATGTTTCAACACCTCAACTCAGACTCAGCTACAGAAACAATGGGAACACCTGAACCAGAGTCTTTCTGGAAAGAAATTGCCCTTCTGAAAAGAAGGCAGTGCCCATCCAGGGGTGGATCTGCATGTTAAGGTGCATCTCGGGCAGCTTGACAAAAAAACCTTCTGGTACATGCGATGGTAGGACAGATGTTCAGTGCTGCATTCTTGTAATAAAAACAAGCTTCAAATGATTAAGCTGAAATTAAAAAAATAGTGTTTCTGTGGAGAAAGCAATGTAGGAGAGCAAGCAGAATGCAAAATTACACATAGACAGAACAAAATACATTCATAGTGGAAGAGAAAAGGCAGCAACAAGAATTTAGTTCTGTCTTCATTTCAGAAGTGTACTTCCTACACTAGACTAACATTATCCAAGTAATCTCAATGTCAATTGCATGCAAAACCTTCTCTAGTAAATTAAATAATTTACTGTTAATATTTAACTATTCTCCCTACACCTCATAACGTCATTCAATTTAATATTACTCCAGTTAAAAAATAAAACTTTGATTCTGAAAATGTTCTATTATATACATTAATTACAGAAACATCCTGTGTGATTTGTCAGGGTCAAATCTTTATTTTGACATTCTTTCCTGGTTAGGAAAATTTCAGTGTAGGCTTATGTTGACACATATTTTCTTTAAGGATAAGAGGCGTCAACATCAGCCTACACCAAAATTAAATTAAGGACATTATCAAAGTATACTAATCTTTACAAAAAATTAAGTTACAGAAACAATTTGGAACTAATTTTAATGTTTTCTGGGGTTTTATTTTTATAGCTGTCAACATTCAGAAGATGAAGTAGAGGATAAGAAATGAAAGGGTGTGACTAAAATTTAGAAGTTTAATTCTATCTTCTCTCTGAATAATGAAGTCTTAGATCAGTATAAAAATTACTTTAACCACAGGTGTAAAATTCTTTTAAACTGTAATGATTTGTGTCCATCACTGCTTAAGCTAATTAGTAATGCTATCTTCTGACAAATTTTATTTTAAACTTTCAACAACAACAGAAGCCCAGTGAGAAGTATTAGCTGGTGGTTGGAAACAAGGATTATAACTCCATTATATTAACTAAGTTTTGGCATTATATACATTTTGGTAGGTAGACTGTTAAATACCAGTGTTTATATCCACAGCTACAGCAGAGATACACTGTCACCTGAGGAGGAATTTAAAAAGACAGAAAATACTCATTTAACTTACAGGTTTGTAAGAGTATAACTGGATCCCAGAATTTGACTTCGACATTAGTAATATGAAAGGAGAGCATTTGCAATTATTTAAGAAGATAACATTTAGTTGCACGATTTTTAACTTGTTTGAGACAGCAATGTGGTCTAATACCCCCATAATAAAAATTATGTTAGTATGAAATAATGCAGATACCATCACTGACATTATTATTATCTAAGTTGTGTGATGCATTTATCAATGATAAGAAAGTTTTAGACATGTACTTCTGAAAATGTTAAAAATGGCAATAATAATTACAGTTCTACCATGTTAATGCTTTTACTAAAACAGCCACTTTCTATGTGTTGAATTGAAATGGAAAGGAAAAACAACTGAACTTCAACACTACGAAGCTATTAAGGATCCCTCACCTTAGAGCAGGCTTTTTCAGTTTGCATGCATTGAGAAGATTCACAGACCTGCTTAATCCAGATTGAGAGGTGCATAAACAAAGCAGAATAAAAAGTGAATGCAACAATAGAATGTGGTAACAAGACATTTACAAGACTTACATTAAAAGACAAAATTGCATGCTTTCAAGATATGAAGTCACGTGCAAGAATAAACCACAAAGTGCTTATTGACTCAGTTAGATGTTTGATCATTTCAAACCATACATTTAATAACACCAATGTATCTTTGAATGACAAAATCTTAGCAGTGCCCCGATAGACTGACCATTTGTAAAGAGACTCAAAAATAAAATTAAAAATAAAAAAAAAAAAATCAAAGAGGCTATCTGAAGGAACACGAAAGATGACGCAGCTAAAAGACAAAGACTATTAAAAAAGCAACAACAAAGACAAGAAAATAAATCCTCATATATACATACATATACCATTGCATAGCATGAATGTTTCAGGCAGTTGCATTACTGAATTGTGGTGAACAAATCTGGCCAAAATTAAAAAGATATATACCTTATTACTAAAATTACTTGGAAAAATATAAAAGCTTTTAAATAAAATAAATTAAAAACCAGTGCACAATGCTCTTAAGACAGCAACCGATGGCATTAATATTTTGCCTAGCACTCATTCTGACCCTCATTTAAATCAATTAGAATGAACTCAGGAATAACATATGACTTTAATTTCATTACGCCTCTGAGCAAAATGCACTAATAACTTTAATTGTTAGAGATATTGTGAAGTGGCATAATAGTTTTGCCACCCGAAGTTCAGTGGAGAGGGATTTCTTTTTTAATTTATATTCTAAATATTTTAAACCATTTTCTTTGAGAGATGAGTTACACAGAGCATCTAATTGAAGGTTTGATTCAGAGTTTGTATGTGCCAGTTACAAACCCTCGCTGCCCCACAACATTAATTCCAGGCGACTGAACAATTTCCTAGGGGCCATGTGTTTAGAGTTTAGAAGAACAGGAATTTATCATATTAAAGTATTTTATTCTCCCTGCAAACAAAGCTCTTTATGTTTTCTTTGTTCCTGCTTCTTCCTTTTGATCTCCATTGTCAGAGTTTTGCACCATTGTAATACTTTGCAATCTGCTGGGGGAGAAAGAATGACTGATTGTCTCCTTTTGAAAGGCAAAGTATGTGCAAGCCTGCAGCCTGCACCAGCATCCCTACTGGGAAAGGTACTGTCTGCATTCTCCTCCCATACTTTTTTTTCCTCCCTTTTCCCGCCTCAACTCTTGGAAACAAAGCTATCCTAGATGAGTCACAAAACCTTAGATTTTAATAGGGAACACAAAACATCACTACTACGCACTGGCCATATTCCAAAGACAAATTTAGTGTTAAGCAGCAAATTTCAAGCCACATTAAATGCTAAAGAAAGAGTGCAGGAGGAAGGGAAAGTTCTGGTCATGATACACTAAACTTATCTTATTTGGATGAAAACTTCAAATAATTATTCTAAGCACAAAGTTTAGAATAAAACTATGGCAGCATTCAAAAATCTGTTACTCAAAATAGCTCATACACTTCTAAATCACAGAATTAGAAAATATACTAAAATTCAAATCAGATCCTCTGACAAAATGTTTCTTGTGAAGATGACACGGAAACACTTTTCAAAGCCAAACAATTCTTTTATTGTCCATCTGTGTCAGGTGATTGTTCAGCCCATCTCAGAATCACTCCAGCTCTCTGTTAGCTGGCTGCCACCCAGAGCTGTGTTCACATGGTTCCCAGAGCCTGAGTGCAGCAGCTCCTCTTGGTGCTTGACCACAATTTTTGGTCCCAGTACCACCGTCATCACCAGGCTTTCTGCTTTGCACTGCATTACCACCATAGCCTTTTATAATCCAGTTGATCCATGTTTTGGATTTGTGCTTTTGCTCTGTTCAAGTTATTTCAGTCCTTCCTTAACCTGGACAATTGGGTATTGACTGTGAGATCTGAATGCTGAAGCAGGGTTTGGTGCCCTCAATTCTAATTGAAGTCAGAGTCAGTTGAGGTTACTCAATGCTTTGCAAGATCTGGATCTAATTATCACATTAGGTCCTATAAGAACCTACTGATATCCAGAGATACATGTTTTATACAAGGAAAAGCAATATGCATAAAGGTTAAATGATTTGCATAAGGTCACTGAGAGAATATATGGCAGAATTCAAATAAAAGCCTGCTAGTTCCACCCTTTCAGCCTCAAGCATTTTTTATTACCTCCAATTTTAGATTCCTGACAGAAGAAGTCATTTCCATTTCACATATTAAATGGGAAATCAGAAAATGCAGTCAACTCTGAACCACATCTCCTTGGTAATCCAGCAAGGCAGATAAGCCATATACCAACCTGTGGGTTCAAATGAGTTAACCAACACATTTAATACAGCTACTGTATGAAATGAGATTGTGTCTGCAGACATACCAGTAAATACTTCTATCTCTAAGCAGGAGAATGTATGGATGTACACTTAGTCCCCTTGCAGACTATTTGCATATATTTACATAAATAATGCACAACAAACTGTTTCAAGGGACAGAGTGATGTCATTTCAATTGGACATCATACAGTCTTAACCTAAACAGTGCTAAGTATAGGAGAAGAGAGGAATCAGAAAGTATTTGATTGTAAACCCTCTTTTCATAAGGCAGCAAAAAACTTTTGGGAAGGACTCAATTCACCTGCACTTTCTCTTGGACATATGGTCACAGGTAATAAAAAAATGGAAGAAGCTATTCTTTACTATTTATTTACTAGCAGATATTTGTCAGTCTCAACAGCAGGTCAAAAGTTTAGAAGATGATTCAGCAAAAAGGATTTTTTTCCCCTTTCTACTGTTGTTTTTAACTTTCATCTTTCAAACTCCACCTTTTCAATTGTGCACCTGTGTTGTATGGAAAAACTATTAAAAGCATTCACGTAAAAATTAATTTTAAAAACATCTATAAACAATACTATTTACAGCTGCTGTGTCACATGACCATATTTTGGACTACAGAATACCTGCACTACAAATTAGCCACAGTTCTGGAAGCAGTTCATAAGAAAAGAGCATGTCTTAGCAGAAATCAGAACTAAAAAAAATCTTGAAATTTCCCACCATCTGTAAACTGTGCAACACTGAGAGAAGCTTCCAACACAAATAAACAAGTCCTACCCCTTGAAAAAGGAAGCTATTTGATTTTGCTGATGTATTTCCATTACTGTTTTATGCACAAACACATGCATTTCCTGAAGGTAAAAGGGTCCAGTATAAATACAAAGTTTGATTGAATTCATCTTAAGGATACATAATGAATTATTCTACTTGACTGTATACAAGAAAGATATTTGGAGCACTTACTGTATCATCTTTGAATAGTGAATATGTGGAACACCATTTACTATAAAACCCTGAAATCCAACCAGTTATTTCAAGGTTCTCCATTAAATGATTACAGAATAATTTACCAAAAAAATGTTTTGTACAGTAATTAGCCAGTGAGGTTCTTACCACTCCACTTTATTCCTCTTGAAGTACATTTATAGGCAAGGCACAGAAATATGCTTTAATATAGTTTAATAAAGGTAACAATAAAGAACATTTTCACTTTAAAGACACCAATACAGCATTTTAGAGCATTTGAAGGGAGCAATAATTGTACAGCACCTGAATTTACAACTGCTTTTTTCAGGACAGGAAACAATCCCACCCTCCTAAGCACTCTTAATACGTGCTCACCTATTTCAGCAAAACTGTTCATATATTTTTTTCTTTTCCAAAACTGAATACATATTTTCATGTTGCATATTTAAAGCATCTTCAGCCTAATGTCTTCAGCAATGTGAAGGGACAAAGCAAAATAAAAGGACACTAAATACCTGACCTGTGGAAGAATTTCTCACACAGGAATCAAGACAGTCTAAAAATAGTCCCTAATGATGCTCTCTAAGGACTTTCTCACTGGCATTCTGGGTATCCAGGCTGCACATGGGTCAGGTGGAAGGGATACAGGCTGCCACTTATCTACAGGGATCCTAAGCTAGGATAATGCCTACAGGCTGCACGCAATACCAGATGAAACACCTGAACTACCTAAAGGCCGCCAAGAATAGAGAAAGCATGAGCATGACCCTGAGCTGCACTTCATCCACCCTACTCTGGGGCAGAAAGTCCTACGCTGAACCCTAGGGACAGAGCACAGAGACTCAGGAATTATACTTTCTGTACACAGGTGAAGTCTCCCATTTCTCCATGTTTTATAACTACTAGTTGAAACTTAATTAGGAAGAATTAAATTGTGATAATTATTAAGAAAAAATAATTTGTGAAGAACAAATGTGGTTTAAAATTCAGCATGTACTAAACAGTACTCCTTTTTAAACACTAGTATATCTCCTTTTCTAAAAGGAAAGTTCTTTCACCCATTTTCAAACTTTTGCAAATCTAATAATGGAACAGTTTGGACAGTATTTGATTTCCTTCTCTTAAGGGCTGATTCAGACTAGCCTGCCAAAGCCTACAGCTGCAGCAAGCTCCAGCTCATAAGAGCTCACAGGAGTTCATTTTTGTAACATAAACAAATATGGTATTTTCCAGTTTTAATTGTGCACAATGTAACTTCTCTCTACTCTACAATAACAGAACCTGGAGTTTCTTGAAAGTCAGTCCCCTTCAAAACAGAAACAAAAACTGGCATACCCTTAGCCACCATCTCCCCTCTGAGGAAAAGTTCTTTTTGAGAGATCTCAGATCTTAGCAGGTTAATGCTGTCATCTCCACAACTTACCCCCCCTCTCAGAGCTGACAGCACCATCAGTAGAAAAAGATGAGGAGACACACAAAAGAAATATACAAAAAAAATCCCCCAACCTAACCCCAAACCCCACACTATTATCTTGTAAACACATACAATGCAGCAGATTAGCACCACAAAAACTGCCACATATAACTTGACTTGCTTCGCCCAATCCATTCCATTCCTTATGACCCAGATGTATAAAACATTTAGTATATTTAAAAACAGCTACACACAAAGCAAATTGGGACAGAGCAGTAATTTTTAAAAGGGCCTAATACATGCTAATGAAAAGATATCTAAAGATGGATGTTTTCATTTGCATAAATATGTGCTAGGCATAGAATTTTCCTCCTCCCTGAGATGCTGCTAACCCTGTGCATGCAGTTTATATGATAATTTTGTTAGTCAGAGAAAACCACCAAAGATAACATACTGATTTGCAATGATAACACTGTTTCTCTGCAGACTACATGTATTCTACTAGCTACTCAAAGAATTCTTGCACCAATTTTCACATCATGTTGGGCAACAGCACAGTAGAAATGCTTTATTCTCTCAATGCTAAATTCTTAAAAGCAAGAAATGTACACAAACCAGTAAGACCAAGCATTGTACATTCTTTCAATACCCATGGTAATAACCTTAATTGTAATTAGAATGAATAAATTTAAAGCCTCTTAGAATGAAATCCATCTCCTTTTCTTTCCGAACTAAATATTTAGACAGCTGCTTTGCAAGTAAGAAAAACTAGGTATCTAGAAGGTTAAAAGAGGAGCTATACCATGTTTTCAATTCCATGGTTATAAGGTTTCTCATAGATGCCTACCTTTTTGCTGCTGGTGATACAGTCTCCTTTCTGGTTCCTGATGGAGAAGGTAAAGAGCCACTTGGTTTCTTTGGTAACACAGTTCCATTGTTAACTGTAGTCCTTAAAGGCAGGGTTTGTACCAGTGGTCTTGCTGTAAAACAAATACAAGATGAAATTACTGCCTTCATTTACTTTTCTGTGTTTTTTCTTCAGCAAACAACACTAGAATATTTTAAATTTTCCATGCATTATGCCATTCTTGTGTCACTATGGCCAAATTCAGCACAGATGAGGGTTTTAACATTGAGAATTTTTAAAAAATTATTATTATTCATAACAATAATAGTCCTATCAAGTAAAAACTCTGTCCTAGATTAAGGAGCTTAGTGGTAAGCACAGAAGTAGTTGTACTCAAAACCAATCCTGCTTTGTCAAAAGAGCATCAGTCTCTTGCCCACCTGTATAGCATCCAGAGGAGTGCTAGAAATGAATGCAAATTGTCATCCCAGAAACTCCTGCTCTTCATCCCTCCATCTTCTCGGAGGTTTTCCACAAGCAAATTATCTATTAAGAAATTTCTACTCCCCCCAAAAGGTCTTTTTTCAAGGAATGTGGGCTTATGTTTGACAGAAAGGATTTGTACCCTCTATTCAGAAAAAGCTACTGAAATCAGCAGAAGAGTGAAGGTAATAAGCTGGTATTATCTACCTACATTCTTCTGATCAAATGTTGGCTCAAAAAAAGGATCTGGTGTCACAGCTGTAATTAACATTAGAATAACAGAAAAGTCCAATTCCAGTAGTTAGAAGTTAGTTGCAAAAACAGGGTTTAAAACTGCAAGCAATGAGTACCAACATGAATACTACTGTGGATCATAGCCTTGAAACAGACACAAACATGACTAGTGCTCTCCCTACATCAGAAAAAAAAAAAGCTTGAATCACTTGAAATTTGACAGGACTTTGTATTACAAGCCATTGTAATGATGCTAAAAGCCTCTGGGTTCAGAGAAACACCACCTGAGAGAAGGCAGCAGTAATAAGTCACTTCAGGAACATAAAATTTCATTGAACTTGGAGAGGATGGCAGGGAGGATACCTATGAAATGTTCTTCAAAAAAGACTGCCAAGGATAAAAGAAATAAAAGGCTAAACTGAAACAGTACCAATAGTATACAATTATAGGTCATATTATAACAACATCTTATTGTAGCACTGACAGCAATCATTTATTGCCTTGTTCACCCTAAGTTTTCATATACTGAACAAAAAGACAGATGTGAAAAACTGTGCCTTGAGAAGATTGTCAGTACATATGGTCTACTAGAGAATGCAACTTGCAAGACAAACTTTGTCTTGAAACTTCGTTAGAATATACACTTACTTATTATGTATTTGTCATTTATTTATTCAGAGGAGAGAAATTTAGAAAACAACCTATCAAGAAAATACTGAAGGAACAAGGCTTATTTGGCTTAGAAGAGTGAAGGATGACAGGAAAGAAAGTCAACGAAGAAGATAAGAAGAAAATTTTCTCTATGCTCACTGAGGGTGCCTTCCAGCTCTGCCTTCCATGATCTGCTTTAACTGACTAATGCTGTCTTTAGAGCTTATACAACACATCTGAAGTTTACTTGGCTTCCCAATAAACTCTATTTTTTTATTAATTAATTCGGATAGAATTCTATTTGCTTCTCCTTTATTAATATTTTTGTATATTAAATTCTTCTTACAGTTTTGTGCTGCTTGTTTCCTAATTGCTGCACTGCTGCAGTTAATCCATATGTATAAAACTGATTCTGTTGCATTCTACAGAATCACAGGTAGCTACAGTTGAGAAGTTGTGGACCTGTCTTCCTGCAAGCTTTCTGTAGCTCACAAAACTTTAAGGAACTTTGAGAAGACAAATTAGAACAGCAACTGAAGTTAAAAAAATAAATTATTAAAATATTTTCCTTAATTGCAGTTATTTTAAAAGAATGCCTACTAAAGAGTAGCTGGAGTGAACTAGCTGGAGTCTATTTACTCTCTTAACCTTATGAAATCGAAACTAGCAGCAGCCAGGAACCTTTAACAGAAGTTTTGCTTCAGATCCACCACCAATCCACAACCCACACTTCTGGAAACAGAGATTTAAATGGTCGGCTAGTGTAGAAAGCAACACCATGAAACTCTTGCACAATATAGAGAAAAACTGTGCATTATTCAATAAATCCACTGTTTACTCAGGAGCTATTTGGTTTTACTTACAACAGCTAGTTCACACCAGTGGTAACTGGCATCACAGTCACACAATCCCAAACATGTCATTGCTGTTAGAAGTCAGTAACACACTATTACTGCTTTGTCAGTAATGTTTATTTTGGAAGTTCTGGTGCTTCAAGGTCTTACCTGTGGTAGCAGGACTGACAAGTTTATCAGCCTCAGCAGCAGCTTTTTTAATCATACTCTGATCTATGGATTAATAGGGCTGTTAAGTTTACAAACAAACCAATAATTGCAAAAGGAAAGAACAACAAACACAAGTAAAACAAAGGCAGGAAGCCATACTGAAACTCCACCAAGTAGTAGAATTAAATAAGGAAAAGGAAAAAAACCCAAACAACTAAACAAAAACTAAACAACTAAACCATTAGGGAAGGAGCTCTACAAATGGACAAGATAAGCCGCTCCCTTTCCATGATGTATGCTGCTTTTAAGCTGCTTAGCTCAAGAACACAAAGACTGAAAACAAGCTCAAGATTTTTCCATTATAGATTTGAAAGTCTGAAACTTGAAATCTTTAAATTAATTTTAAATCTGAAGTACTCAGAAAAAAATGAAGGCATTTATCCCATGAAGATTCTTGTTCCAGACTTTATACAGTACTGGGGGGATCCTGTTTTTCAAAAGGCACAGGCCTCCCCCAACACACACACACCTAATCCTGATCCACTTCATCTGTAGATCAAATGATGACAGCAGCATACACTATGCTTCAAGCCCCAGTTTGCATGGACACAATTTCTGTGACATTCTGTGGGATGAAATTCCACTTTTTAAAATTTCAAATGTGGAATTAGTCATTAAACAATATAGGGAGAATAAACACAAGTTCAGTCCATGCAGCCCAAGGGGGTATGAGCAGCCACCACTCCAGCTCCTCCCATGTTTAACAAAGCCCCTCTCCTAAGAGTATCCATCAGAAGCCTTCATAATGCTACTCCAAACTAAAATTAGTCTTATGCTAAGTAATTGCATACAATTTTTTATAAAGTAGTTGTGAAAGAAAGGAATAATAGGTGATTATGTGAAATAGATCATATTTGACAAAACAGCAGAAAAAAACCCCAAGTGGTCTGAATACTTCAGACTCTCTTTCATGTTTATAATTCATGTTTAATAAGTTTGACCATACACTAAATGATACAGCTGATGTACAGCAAAGTGAAAATTCTTTACATAAACAGTCACAGTACTGATCTTCTCCAGAAATTAGGTGAGTTTTGTTGGCAAATACCAGGACTCATTCTGGTAATTTGCAATGGAAGAGCAATTGACATTTGTAGTCCTCTATTTGCATCATTACAGTAAAAGTTCTAACACTGTAATTTCATACACACACTAAGAACCAGGCATGCAATACATACATTAAAAAAACCTCAAAACCACACACACGGAAATCCAACAAAAAAACAAGCAAACAAACGCCTACAAAACCAGCCATAAAAGACAGGGGGGTAGGCTTACAGCAGCTTTTCTTCAATGTACATTGAACTATGGCTCTAATGGTCTGCCATGACCAAGAAAACTTCTCCTGATTTAGAGTTCAACTCTGCTCATAGAATCCATGAAAATCTGGTTTATATTTTGCTAAGTAAAGCCAGCAGGCATGAAGAACAGATTTGGTTAAAACTCAGTAATAATTACTAGGCTTTATTTCCTCTATGCATCAGATAATATCTATTTTACAGGCAACATGAAGCCTCTTAATCCCTTGTTAAACCAGATTTGATGGAACATTTTATCACAGTGGAGGCTATCTTTAGTAACATTTAACTTATCTGATATTTTAAATTTTTTCTCAATAAAACAAAGACAAAATAAGGAGATTACAACAGAAAGGGAAGAGAACATGAAGACAAGATTCCAGATATTTAGGGCCTATTCCATCTGACAGCTAGCATGACACACAAATAACTCATTATTTGGCTCTGTAATTCTGTCCCTTTCAGCTTTCCTCATCTCCTGACACAAAACTTTGTCATAAACATGACATCTCAGTTCAGCAAATTAAGTAGTTCCTACCAAGTCTGTTAAATCAATTACTAGAACTAAGTATTTGTTGCAGGGGTTACAAATATATAACCAAAATTAAAGGAAGTCCTAACTTTAAACAGAGAATATTATGAATCCATAAATACATAACATAATTATCATGCAAAGTAAGGTTTTAATTAATACATATCAGGAACCCAAAAGAAACAACTTCTTAAGTTAGACAACAGAGAGCCTGTGAAGTCAGTACTTTCTTTCCACATCTAGGTTGTCACCACTCTTATTCCTAAGACCACCCTAAAATATCTTGTGTGTTTCTCTGAGCTGCACACAGGCAGCCTCCCAGGCCTCTGCAGCCTCACACACTACAGTAAATCACATTGCTTGGGTTCTAATAAACCTTCACTCCTGTGAAGTGCTGGATGTTCAGGTCCAGCTTTTCTGAATTGTGCACAGAAAAACTCATTCTGCAGAGCAGGAGCCACAGGAGAGCACACTGTGGCATATGGGCACAGCACAGAATTCTGCCAAGCAGTGACATCTGTCACACCTTGTACCTCACTGGCTCTGGCTCTGCTGCTTGGAATATGGTCAGGTAACATCTACAGCTCTGCCTTTCTTTTATAGTTGAGCAACTGTGTTGTACCATCTCCTTAGTCATGTCAACTCTGTGCTAGCTTAGAGCTCTGTCTTATGTCTGTATGATCCATACACACTTGAGACATTTTAAATTAAATTTTAATTACAATTTATATAAGTTTAATTCATTTTTTAGGATAAAAATCCCCCAACCTATTAGGAGTTTCACCCACAGAAGTCAATGCCTTCCCTAAAGAGTTTATAAAATACCTTGATCAGAAGTAAAGAAGTGGTAGCGATGGTTAAATGTAGCTTGTGGATTAAGCATTAAGAAAATGCAAATGCTTTGCTGGTTCATGTAAACTGTAGAAGGCTCACAGATTTAACCATCTGGATTTCTATGTGTTCTTTTAAACAGGTTGAATTTCAAATGTATTTTATTTAGAATTTGATTTGTTGAATTTGAATATTTCAAGATCTAATTAACAACCTATTTTAATACATATGAAACAGTCACTGAACTGCACTATCTATTTTACATCTGTCTGAAATGCAAACCTTTGGTAGGTCCTTTCTTGTTCTGCATGGCCTGCTGCTCCTCTGTAATATTCAAGCGTCGGACCACATCAGCAAGGGCAGATTTGAGCAGCTGGATGTCATCTTCCTGCATCTGGACACGCTGCTCCAGAGAGGCAATGCGATCTGTGACCTCCATACTGCTTGCAGCAGAGGCACTGTCATCTAAACAAAGCAGCAGAAAAAAAAAATGCATTACCAATAATGGATGGCAATTGGCTGCAGGTAAAAACAATGCTTTTCTCAGAGCTGATGACTTTGTGAGGAAGTTTTGAGTGAACAAAAGGAAGAGATTGAAATAAAAATAAATAAATAAAAGATAGATACTTAAGTAAGATGTCATGATGTTATGGCCCTGGCTTCAGGGCCAGTTGTTAATTGGGTTCCACTACCAATTATCTGCACGTCAGAACTGTAGCGATCAATCACCACCCTTCACTGTTCTGCTCAACACAACATTCTGACACTGCTGGGCATTCACAGAGAGCTACATTTTCTGATATGCCCTTCCAGAGTTTTCTGTCTCACATAGCTCATAGAGATACTTTACAAATACATAAGTAACAGATAGGTTTATACTTTTTCAAGCTACCATACACAGGCTGAAGAACAGGTACTGACCCAATCTGCTAACCCCTAGTTTATACCAGCAGCTTTGAGAACATTCCCTCTAACTGAAATAAAAACCCAAATAATTTCAAAATTACTCAGCAACTGTACTCTAAGCCTGCAAATTATTAAAAGGGTAATTACTTTTATACAATTCACCCATTATTTGGAAGTAACCCATGGCAGCTTCAAGACTGCAAATCCATGATGAGGACTACACGTTCTTTCCACTCAAAACTAGCAATAAGAATATATTTCCTAAATGAGTGCTTTTATTCCCATCACATAGAAACACTGTCCCTTATTACAAGATTCAGTTAAGAGAAGTAAGAAAGCAACACCAAAGACATCAAAGTCAGTATCAAATAGAGAAATAATGTGCAGTTTTTAAAGAGAATTGCAAAGTTTTATTTAACTAGGCTTCAAAACCTACAAAAAAGTTAGGTACTAACTTACTGGGTGATCTTAAGTAATCTTATCAAGGACCATAGCTTTCAACTCATGACTTAGTTAGTCATACTGTAGCAAAAATGGATATTTATGCTACTATCTGCAAGCATAATTGACTTCTCCTTCATTCCCAATGCAAGTCTGCAGCCTGTATTTCCTCTGTTAAAGCTGAGTTCTCCTTGTGAATAAGGTGCTATTTGTTTTAATTTCTTGTGTTCTTAATTCTCCTCTGTTCCAAACGAGAGTTTTACCCTTCTTTTGTAAAAGGACGCAATACAAAAGTTAAATGGTTTGTGTATAATAACAACTCCTCTTGAATTTTAAAGCAAAGTTAAGTGTTTAAAAAAGGAAAACAATTTTTCTGAATACATCTAAAAGCATAACCAAGAATGCTAATGCATACAAACTTTTAATCATAAGCATCTAGGAAAAAATGGAATTAATTTATTTTTTAAAAATCTATTAATCTCCAAACCACTCCAATGCAATGGTTTTGAAATCTTTTCATCAGATCAGTTTTGGCTTCCTCATCCCTCACACCCCCAATAGCTATCTGTGGTTATCAAAAGCTGAATTAGAAACAACTCAGAAACAATGTAACAATATTGACATTCCATAAACAGCTACAGACTATTATAGTTTAAAATGCTAGTTAATTATGTTACAGGATTTTCAGATCTTATTTAAAATATCAGCATTAGCATATTATTAGGCTGAATATAGTAGTAATGAAAGTATCTGTTTCTGAATGAAATAAACCAGAACTCAAGTTCCTGAAAAATGTTAAAAAACTTTCCCCATGACAAAGCTTTCCAAACTTTGGCCTAATCAGACTTCTGCTCAACACAGGACTCTGTCCTATAGCTATTACAGGTAATTAGTCCCCAAACTCAGATTAGCAGCTATGCTGGCAGCAGTAAGAGCTGCCTGCAGAACTTAACCTTTCCTCTACAAACAAAAGCCCCACGCTGCTCTAATGACTTTACACTTTAACTCAGCTGGAAATAACATGGATTAGCATACTGGACAATAGGCAACCAAATCAAAAGCTTGATTTAACCAATACAAGCCAAATTCAAACTTTAGCCATTCTGCCAAATTCAGTACCATCAGGAATACTTTTCTTCTGAATTCAGTGAACAAAAATAGCCGAATCCCAAAACCAGGGCAGTAAAGGAAACCCAGGGGAAAATCAGTTGGTGTTGAAATGATCTACCCTTGCTACAAAAGAAAATGTCCTCATTGAAGTATCCATTTCACTAACTTTTAAGTGTGTAGAAACAGTAATTTTGCCCAGACATTAATCATCAAGTGGTAAATCAGTGGCACTGGTTTATTTACAGTCCTGTAAGAAATCACTCCCACTAATAACTATTAAGATGTACAGTTGTCTCCCTTCTTCCCCCTTCCCCCATCTGTCACTGTGACTCTTCCCCCACACCCTCACTGGCCAACAGGCCCCAGCAAACCCTTTCTTGGACACAACATCTGTATCTTCCACTATCATCTCCTTGTAGGGTCCTGGCAACATAACCCTCATCCTTGCTGTAACCTACAGCTTGTTTCATTTTTATGGTTCTTAATTCACTGGGTGCAGTTCCCTTCCAAGGATGCAGAAAAAAAATAAAATTTTAACAGCTTTCAGTAAGACTGTAACTGGAGACAAGACTGCTTACAGTCCAGTACCATTTCACTTTACCTCCTATTTGCATGCATGTACAAGCAAGCTAGAAAAGAGGCACAGAATACAACAAAACTACATTTTATGAAGAATGCAAAGTTCAATCATAAAATAAGCATAACCTGTTTGTTATGCAAGTTGAGGGTGGAATGTTCTTGCCATTGAGATCACTACATCCCAGTATGTTGAGCAATAAAGTTGCATGTTCAACACAGCCAAATAAGTGAAATGGCACAGTATCAGAAGAGAAAAAAACAATTAATCCATAAACTAACAATACAACAACGAAAATGCCACTGCAGATGTCACCTATTCTGTCCACACAACCAAGAGTGGTATTGTTAGCCTAATTTGTGACCTGCCTCTGCAGTGTACCACCCATCCTCACAGCAAAGGACATTTGCAAAGAATATTTTAGCACACATTTGTAACGCAATTTGGAAAGGCAAATGAAGGAAACTGCAAATCCAGACAAATTGCCTTCAAGTATTAGATCTCCTTATCAGTCACTACCACCCCTTGCCCACGGATGGGCAGAACAGACATCACACCACCTACATGGGGACCATCAATAGCACAACAGAATTAATTGTTACCTTTTTTCATCAATGGGAAGAATAAGGACTTTACAGTGAAATTCATGCAACATGGTTTTAGAAAACTGAAGTGAGTCACTTTCTACAAAGTTCATTGATTTTCACCGATTTTAAGGCAAGTCTAAATCATTGTCTCAAACATGTAAATCATAGAATGCTTTTGGTGGGAAGGGACCTTAAAGATTCCTGTCCACCTGCAGTAGGCATAAAGTTAATCTACATCTCATGACATAAATGCCACCTACAATGTCCAAAATTAGAAAAAACAAGGAGGTATCAATTCAGACACCTCATTTTTCATTGCAATAGGTATTTGTGGTAAAACTTGGAAAAAAGAGTCATTTATTATTTTTGCTTTGCTGAGATTCTCTAAGTTTCAAAGGGAAGGCAGCAAAAAAGGGGAATATATTACATGCCTCTCTAAATTGTCCAACCAGCTAATCCATGATCTCACAGATTGGAAAGATTTCTCACGGCAAACTAAAAGATAATACTGAGTCAAATGATTAATCTGCTTCCAGAGTGTATTCCAGTTTTACAGCAATTTTTTACTTGAGCTTAGCCAAATATGAAGAAACATCTGAAGCAAAGCCAACAACAGGACGTGTATGCTGTTTACAAGAGTGATTTCAATACTATTTCTTGTATGTAGGCTAAAGCTAAATTACATACTTACACCATTAGTTAGAAGGAAGCCTATTAGATACATACATAGATTTCTTCTATAGAAAAACCTAAACCTTCTGAAAAAACAAAATGTTACCTGTATGTTAACATATATGAAATAATTAAAGTAGGACTTGGCATTCTCCCCCGTAGAAGAACTACTTTATTCCACCTTTGCATTATGCAAACATTAATTTTGAGGTTATCTTGTCCAGCTCAGATCACAGCAGTTGACCATGCAATGGAAATATTAGGTACTGATTCTCAAAAGACTGGCAAACAAATTTGAGTTTATTCAATCTACATGGCATATTTGGAGCACCAATTAACAGGATAAAACCCTACATGAAGTACTTCCAAAACTGATTGCAACTGTGGTTGCTAGACACTTTTTGTACAAAACATTTTAAAAGTGGCATCTCAAAGTCTTTGCAGAGTTTTCCTTGTGTTTAGACACTCTGCAGGATATCAGGAAAGAAAATGCAAGCTTTCTGAGGACAGCAAATGCCAGCAGTGGTCATTGGCAAAAACTAAAGATAACCCACATAACAGAAAACTGCAAGGGATGGCAGTGGAAAGGCAGCATCACCCACACACAGAGCAACTCTTCTTCTAGCATAAAGACATAGATTGTGCCAGCAAGCCTGAATTGAGCTCAACTGGCAGGAATACTTTCTGTCACTGAGAGATTTCATTAAGTCTATCACGTTCTGTACTTGTCCTGAAATCAGTTGGTACAAGTATTTACATTCCTTGGAAATAACTATGAACTTCAGGGCCACTACTACAGTCTTATGAAACTGTACATGGACAGAAAGGAATTCTCCACCGTCAGCATGCAGCTAACTCTATGGCAGAACACAGCAGCTGCTAAGAAAGACATGCCATCAAAGGAGAGAGAAAGTTAAAACAGTAGTTATGAAAATACAAGCAAACAAACAAACAAACAAAAAAAGCACAATCCTGCAGGCTGCACAAATCCAGCCTGAATTTGACCCAGTATATTAGCAAACAATAATTTATTTAATTAATAACACTGAAGATCCTACACTTCCAGAAACATCTTTCCACCCATAAAGACCTATCACTTTTACACTCCACTAACTGCAAAGCTGTCAGATGTGGCACATGTCACTCAGCACACATTTGGCAAGTTCCCCTTC